TGTGTATGTGTGATATTTTCGAGCATTTTTCTTTATTCTTATGCACACAGCGTCTCGGCAAAACATTACGTTTCGCTGATTCCTTCTGCTCGTTTCTCAGCCTCTTGCTTTAACCCACGTCCTCAGGCCGTATTTCCTACGGCGCGCAGCCTCCACTGCTGCTGGCTATCCCTACGTGCGTTTTCTCTCCGTAATATTTCTTTGCTCTCGTGCAAGAAAATGCGCTTTCCTCGACGACCTACTCCTTGTCTGTAATAATTGAATTCGCGTTATATCGGCTGTATCACCAAAGTCAACGAGCTCACGTCAACGTGTCGCGTGGACGCCTCGCACTTAACCGTTTGAGTCCCAAGCAGCGCGATCGCGCTGTTCAGATTTTATGTCGAGAAAACCCAGTACATTTCGATCATTGTGGACAACTGACGGTGCGTTACCGATTGTCGAAGTCGCGCGCTCAGATTTACTGAAGCAAGTATATCACACCGATCCTTTTAATGTAAATAGTACATTTTATAATAGGTAGAATAATATTATAATAATGCAATAATACATTACAAAATAAAAATTTTTATTTCATTGTTATCTTCTCAATAATTTTTATCGAACAAAACTTGAAATATTTATAAATTTACAGTACGCATATGTAATAATACAGATGTATTTTATAAAATAACGAATTACAAATTAACAATATTTTTGTGTTATGAACAAATAATTTAAATGGAGAGTAACAATTATAATTTGTAACATCGGTGTTTATCAAAACATGTTGGATGGATTCCTTTTGCTTCGTTGCTCCGTTGCTTCGTCTAATCATTTTGAAACACACAATTATTAACAATGAGAAACACTTACGCAAGAATACGTCTGATCGCTTTGCAAACTACAATAAATGTGACAGAGCGATGAGAAAAAGACGAGAATCGCGTTACCTAACAAATACAAGAAGCGGTATTGGTCCGATTGGGATTCATCGATGTAAAATAAACAAAGCGCTATCTGCTTGGTATTTCTCGACCTAAAATAAAACAAGCGCTATCGCGCTGCTTGGGTCTTTTCATACTCATTTATAGAAAGCGCGGTTGCGCTGTTTGGGATTCTTCGACAGTGTTTTTTCAATACCCCCTGGGACTCAAACGGTTAATATTATGAAGAGTGATAGAAAGATAAAAAGAAATTTATATATGCGTATGTATATATATATATATATGTATGTATAATACGAGGGTATAATACGAGGGTAGTCCCAGAAGTATCTGACCTAACAAAGAAAATATAAAAAATTTGGGAAAAAGTATCTTTATTTCTCTACATAGTCTCCTTTTAGCTCAATACACTTTTCCCAGCGATGTTCAATAGCTTCGATACCCTGTTTATAGTGGGAATCGTCGAGCTCCTCAAAATAGCCATCAAGAGCCACCTTGGTCCATTGTTTTTACTGTTCCTTCGTCTCAGGTGTGAAGTGATGGACCCATGTTTCATCCATGGTTATGAATCGACGCAAAAACTCGGCTTTATTGCTGCGAATTATTGCTTCGCCAAACACTCGATTGAAACATCCTCACGACGCTGTTTTTGTTCCAATCGCGGCACTCATCTTGCGCACAGCTTTCTCATGTCCAAATTTTCAGTCAATATGCGATGTACAGCACTTTTTGAAATGCCTACCATGTCTGCTAACTTGCGCACTTTCAGTCGACGGTCATCCAATACCATTTTGTGGATTTTCTTCACCATTTCTGGCGTGATCACTTCATTTGGTCGACCACTGCGATGTTCGTCTTGGCAGCTCGTACGGCCTCGTTTAAATTCTGCCACCCAATATTTTACTGTCGTAAATGAAGGAGCAGACTCCTCCAGAGTAGAATCTAGCTCCGCTTTGATATTGGTTGGACTGAGGCCTTTCAAATGAAAGTATTGTGTCACATAACGATGACCAATTTTTTCCATGTTTACAAATTCACTGAGAGCGTTCACTATTGATGGCTGCCAAACAAATACTAAACAACGTAGCGTCGTCAAATTTCAAACTTAAGCTTTATAAAGTTGGTACTTCCTACCATAGTCATTCTTTTCAAACAACAACCGCTATCTATACCGTCAGGTCAGGTACTTCTGGGACTACCCTCATATATATATGTATATAAAAGGTGTCAAAATTCACGCAAGAAGTAATTTTGATAGAAAACACACTGTGTTTCTGAGAAAACACAGTTTTATAATTAAAAATTGTAAATTTTTTATTTATTCATAAAGTATACAGTATTGGGCTATGTATGGAATAGCATATCGAGTAAATGGCCTCCACGGCTTTGCTGGCACATATGCACTCTTTTGTTGAAATTTTTCATGATCGTTTTGCATAAATGTGGCTGAATTTCGTTGATACAACGCTCAATTTCCTCCTTCAAGACGTAGGTGGTCGTGGGCTTGTTGGCATAAACCTTAGACTTCAAAAAACCCCAAAGAAAAAAGTCCAACGGCGTTAAATCGCATGATCTGGGCGGCCAAATCTGATCACCAAAACGGGAAATTACACGACCAGGAAATGAATCATGCAGTAATTGAATTGTTTCTCGGGCTGTATGGCATGTGGCACCGTCTTGTTGAAACCACATGTCGTCCACATCCATATCTTGCAAATTAGGCACAAAAAACTGGTTTATCATGTCGCGATAGCGAGCACCATTAATTGTTATTGCCTGACCAGCCGCATTTTCGAAGAAGAATGGTCCGATGATGCTTCCAGCCCAAAATCCGCATCAAACAGTGACACGTTGTGGATGCATTTGTTTCTCAACAATCACTCGTGGATTTTCTGAACCCCAAATTTTGTCGATTAACGAAGCCATCAAGATAAAAATGAGCCTCATCGCTGAAGATGATTTTGTTCGAAAAATCAGCATCCACTTGTTGTGTTCCATAATCCATTCGACGAACTCTCTTCGCTGTGGCCGCTATACTATTCCATACATAACCCTATACTGTATACTTTATGAATTAATAAAAAATTTACAGTTTTTAATTATAAACCTGTGTTTTCTATCAAAATTACTTCTCGCGTGAATTTTGGGACATCCTTTATAAGACGGTGAATGCGAAGGAGGAAAATTCCTAGTTCTCGCGTATCGTTCTTCCCACGCCATTGCGGCAACTTGATTAGACGGATCCATGAAACGCAAGATGGACTAAGCGAGAATTTACCCTTTGACTTTCAAATCTAATTTGTGCATTCATCGCAAGAACAAAGAAAGCTGCGCGCCCGTTCGCGTAACGAGGCTTCGCTTTCGTCTTCTTTAGCGTGGAATTCTTCAGCTTGTGGTTTAAAGCATCGTCGTGGAAAATGGAATCCTTCTTATACATCATATCCTCGTGATGAGATCACATAGAAAATTTCGCTATAATATAAAACGTTATAAACTTGTATGCATATGTAATAATATACAAAATAAATTGTAAATGTCTCTCTCTCTCTCTCTCTCTCTCTCTCTCTCTCTCTCTCTCTCTCTCTCTCTCTGTTATTTTTTGCGAATAGTACGCGCACATCATTTCGTGATTTGGACCAATATCGTAAAACTAACGTCGAGCAGCACGAAAGAAATTCTCTCTTGAGCGATGCACAGTCGCAAATAGTCGGCCAAGAATTGTCGATGTTGAATCTGAATCATCATTCGACTGTAATCCGAAGGCAGGCGACGATTATTTTCCGAACGAAGCTGGAACATGAACGATTCTCGTTTAAACGGAAATTTTTTTATTAACTGCCGTAATCATCCTCTCTCTCTCTCTCTCTGTCTCTCTCTCTCTCTCTCTCTCTCTCTCTCTCTCTCTCACTCTTTCTCTCGCTCGCTCCGCACACAGAGCTTTACGAATCTCCTTCAAGTCTCATAATGTGTTGTGAGATTTTCGGGCGGAAAAATAGATATTAGTCCTCATATCACTTTTCAATATCCGATGGACGACACGGGGTCACAGATGAGATACATATCTCTGAATGCGTAACTTTTAAAATTTTTGTTTGAGCGAGAAATGTAAATATATTTCTCTGCAACAGATACGAAATCCATCAGTCGATTAAACTTCGCCACAATTATTTCAGGAGTTCTATAGCGTTAAACACAGACACGTACGTTCATATACAGGTCATAGTTATCCCCAAACTGCTGGTGTATCAAGTTGTAACGGCTGCCATGTGCCACTTTTTCTCGGTTTTTTTTTCGTCGAACGAACGTGGATAACGATTATTGCGCTTTTTCTCGACTATTCGCCGTTGCGCGTTGTTAAATCGGAACTGCCGCGGCAGAAAAAGCGGCTTACGCGACAGCGATCGATTTGACGTCGTTTACTTTCCCTTAACAGAAAATTTTTTTCGTTTCGTTGTTCGCTACACTGTATGTACTATATATACGTATAAAGAACCGGAGATTGTTTCCGCTGCTCTGCGGACTACTATCGAAATGGGAAAACCGCGTTTTTTGTTCCCCTAGATTTTTTCCAATGTCCTCGAGCGAAAGCTTCGAAAATAGGTAAATGCATACTGAGAGAGAGAGAGAGAGAAAGAGAGAGAGAGAGAGAGAGAGAGAGAGAGAGAGGGAGAGAGAGAGAGAGAGAGGGAGGGAGAGGGAGAGAGAGAGAAATAGAAGAAACGAAGTATTAAATTTGGCCAATTCACTACAGCACTCATGCTGAATAATCTGCATATGGAATTAGCATGCGCCAAATGTATGATATTTATACGAATTTCGTTATTTACATAAAAGTTACGTAGAGAGTACGTGCGTTAATGTCTCTTTTTTTGTTTACAGCAACTCGCGATGCACGTTTGGCGCGCGTAATATCCGAAGCTGCACTGTTAGAATAAATGTAATGCATTGCCGGGATGTTGGTCGTGTATGTGCATTTGTGCTAATCGTAGCAAATACCAACCGTTTCGATACGACGACCGGTTACGAACGATTACCATGTGTGAAATATAACGCAAAGTATTTATATTGTTTCAGCACCCATTCTTGGTGACGTACAGTGGAATCGTGAACGTGTCTCAGTACCACGAACGAATACCTAGAACGAACGTAAGTTTGATCCTTTGATCCTTAATGAACTCGTTTACACGTAAGAATAGTTAAGATACACGGAAGAAGTAAAGTCTACCGTTCGAAATTGAGTACTTTTATCAGCGTGAATCGGTAACGTGAATCTCGAGCGCTGTCTCGGGTCGTCGCATTAGCGAAGAGAACACAATCCATCCTCTAAGCTGATTATCATTCGAAGGTCGAACGACGAAACATCGCCAAACTCTCGAGAGGCGATCACTTTTGCGCGCGACAAAGAAAACGCTAATAAAAAGTAATGTCGACATTTATCAACGCTCGACAGTTAAAGCCGATAAAAACGAAGAAGGGAAAGCGTGGCGGCGTAACGACGAGAGTTCCAAGTTTTCTGAGGCTTGCTGTCTCGTCACGGAGGAGCCCTCCGATTTACCCGATTCAGCCAGATCGCGGGGAAGACACGAAAGAGAGAGAGAGAGAGAGAGAGAGAGAGAGAGAGAGAGAGAGAGAGAGAGAGAGAGAGAGTGTGTGTATGTGTAATTGGACATAGACTTTGGGATATTAACGTTAAATGGAATATTGAGGTTGAAGGTAGAGAGTCGAAATTTCAACTTGCATAGTTTCCGCCGAATAAGTTAGCTTAGGCGCGATACTAAAACGCACGCCCGCGAAATAAAAGGATCTTAACGACGACGACGAGGTGGACGACGGTCCACGGTGCAGGGCGGTGCGGTACCGTAATAATCATATTGTGAATGCGCGATCTAATCGGCCGGAACGGAAACGAAGTTGTAACGAGCGCGCGCGACGTGAGTTTCGCAGATTAGACTGCCGCGTGGGTGGACGCGAAAGCGACGCGGAAACGACCTCGACGATGCTCTCTGATAGTTTCGTGTGACCTGAAGTTAATAACCCCGTGGCGCGCATGGCTGCACAGAACTTTCGCGGACATTGTTCCCGGCAGCCGCGGATTTATAAGATTCGGTCTTATTTGAAAAGTTTATGCAATTTCGCGAGCCCGCGGCACACGCGGCCTGTAAATATTCGACCGAACTTCGAACTCACCGAATAATGCGGCCGCGAGATTCGCCGGCGTGGGTTTAGCGGGAGCGAGCAGATACCGCGTAAGAATTAGACAGATATTGAAAGAAACGTGCCGATGCTTATAGCTATCGAGAGCGATTTACTGCGGGGATCTCAGCGCTCGAGCGTTCTCCCGCCGATTGGAATTTGCACTGTAACGTTCCTTCGACGGCGCACACACGGAATACGACACCGCGTATATACTACTCCCCGTGGAGAGCGACGCGATTGCCTCAAGTTGAACGCGCGCTGCATTATGGCGTGTTTATAGATAGATAAAAGAAGAATTTATTGCCGCATATTACAAAATAACGTCGACCGAGCGATAAACCTGAGCACGCATGACTTCATGCGTCGAGTTTGCGATTTTGCGAAGGCGCATCGCTCCCGCGTCCGCCTCTTATCGTATCGATTTCGCGCGTTCGTCTCCCTTTTGCGCCCATTCAATCCCGCCGTTAAGCGTTTTTATCTGGGAGATTTTATTTTTTCGGCAAAAACGCTCGCGGTGTATACGCGCTATGCGGTTGCTATGATCAAAGTTAAACTCGTGTTTTAAAGGAAGAGAGATTGGCGGAACGTCGAGAGATATCTGACAGGAGAACTTTTGCACAGTCGCTTCTTGAGCAACTTTTTTTCCCTTTCTTAACAGTCTTCTTAACAACTGCACCGGAAAAGAGATCAAGGCAGATTACCTTCGAGAAGGAGAGAGAGAGGGAAGGGGGAGAAGAAGAGAAACAGGCACCAGATTGCTTTCAGTACAATAATTTTTAATTCGTCCAATCTCGGACATATCTCGTCGTACTTCGCGATAGAGGAGAGACGGGGGGGGAGAGGGAGGGAGAGAGAGAGAGAGAGAGAGAGAGAGAGAGAGAGAGAGAGAGAGAGAGAGAGAGAGAGAGAGAGAGAGAGAGAAGAAGGAGGAGGAGAAAGAAAAAGAGGAGGAGATTCCGCAAGCAAAAGTGACTCGAAACAAGGCTGCCGTTTCTTCCTATCCTATCAGAGATACTTTTCAAGATTTCGAAGTTTGATATTTTCTAAGAGTTACAAGTGCAACGCGTCTCATAAATCCACATGCGCGGAATACGATTTCAATCCTATTCGCTCTGCATACAGGCGGTTACGTGTCCGTTGTATACACACGCGCGTGCGTGCGTGCGTGCGTGCGTGCGTGCGAAAATACAATTTCGACGCGCGGCGTGTGCGTCCATACGCGCGCACATATGTACAGATACAGGTAATCAGATCTTCGCAAGGATGCGAAATCCGGTTACACAAAGGATCGTCATCGAACCGTGGATACCAAGAGACCTGTGTATCGACTTAGCCCCCGTGTAAATATGTTCCGACCCCCCATGACTGTGTTGTAGCATCTCATATCTGCATCTATATAGAAAGTTGCTTCGTGACGAAGCACGCGCGAGAGATGCATTACGAACGCACGTAAAGCACGTAAAGTTCATGATGCTTAACGACGATGCCAATCGACAATGGCGTACGTCCGCTGTTCCTCGAGCAGACGAGCAAAAGTCACTCGAAAAAGGTTCTTTCGGCGCTTTCGCTACGATGTTCTACATTATCGCTGAAAGCTGCGCACGCTGGATTTACCCGACGGATTGTGCACGATTACATTTACATGCTTATGCACGGAAGCGTGCTCCAAGCGGGAACGGATTCTATACGTCTATTTCTGCAAAGTATATCTGTATACATCGGAAACTGTAGAATTGATGGCACGAGCCGGAGATGTACGTCAGCGCGCCGCGCCGCGCCGCCGCCGGGGATGATGCCCCGGGTCCTCGCGCCCCGAGACGGTCGACAGATACAAACGACATATCTCGCAACGTGAACGTTATCCCCATTAAAAATAATCCGGTCCCGCCGCGCGCGCGCGAGATAACACTCGTACGTACGTACGGTCGTGTTAATGGCAGGCCAGATAAACCATCAATTCGTTCGCGACTGTCAGATTCGTGGTCGTTCGGTCGGTCGGTCGGTCGGTCGGTCGGTCGGTCGATGATGGAACGGCTAACGACTCCGTCCTTATTCTCTGCTAATTAACTATTAACGACTTATCGGGAAAAAGTGACCCCGGTCGAGAGTTCACGCGGCCCATCCGAGAGCGCCGGCGAGAGAGCGCCTCGCGTTTATAATTAGAAAGTCGATTACGATGGTGGCCCCCGATCGTCGCCCCGCCGGGCGTAATGAAAACAGCACCCTTCGATAATTCACGGAAAACATCGCGCTTTCCTGCGGAACCGCGGCCGACAACGCCGACGGTCCGGGCGACAGTGACGACGACAGCGGTGGTCCGCGGTCCGCCGGCGCGATTAACTGAATTATGCCTCCGCTTCTTCAGCTGTGTGCAAATTGATTGCGTCGACGACGGCAAAATCGGCCCGTGCGCGTTGTTATGTCAGCTAAGGGATCGCGCGCTCGTTCGCCGCCGTTCGTTATCGTCACACACCGGCACGATCGCTGCTGCTGCGTCCTGTGCGACGTCGAGATGCATTATTCACACGACGCGAGCTGTTTGTCTTCTCGGCTTCTCAGGCGATATCTATCGAGTAAGTGTGTTACCTGCGACATGATTAATTCGTGAGATCTCGCGAGACGAAATTGGGTCGGTCGCGAATGGATGTACACCGGGGCATCCAGTAAGCGCATTAAATTTTCCCTCGCGTATCGCACAAATATCAGGAGGCCGGGAAACGAGGCTAAACTGATGTAAAAGACGCTCGTGCTATAATAATAGCACGGACGAACCGCGCAGGTTTAAAAATCCTTAGCCAGTTAAGGCGATGTCTCGTAACTGAGTCAAGCCGGAGCCGGAGGTCACAATAACTTGATATCCACTTTGTACAGCGCGATTACATCGGGAACAAAATTCTCCCTTTCGCCTCGCGGCTATTTGTATCACGACCGGGTAATTTAACAAAAACTTGCTCGCCCTATTTCGTTATTGCGTTTAAGCGCTCCCAACTACGACGAGGGACTGAATCTCCGGGAAGTTTCAATGGGGCGCGCTCTACATGAGCGCGTTTTTCTCGTCGAACTCTCTCCGCCCAGTTCAGTCTCTTGCTTCGAGTGTTATCTCCAAGTACATATAATACGTACATATAAATCCGTCTGCTATAACTTCTTTGATATTCTCAGTAGATTCTCAGTAGGCCCCGCGCGCGCGCGCACATGCGGCGACGTTGTCGTCATCATCGTCATCGTCGTCGTGGTCGTTTAATAATCCTTGTTCCACTTTGGCAAAGTTTCTACAGAATGGTAAGCTTGCTCGCGTATATTCTCTCCTCCCTCGCAAATTACAGATTAAATTGCGCTATCTCCCTTTCCCATGAGCAGAGAAAGAAAGAGGGAGAGAGACACGCCAAGTTTTCCCAAAAACTCACAACTGCGAATCGTTTACGGTAATCCGCGTCCCGCACGAACGGCCGCCGGTCGCTTAGTGACAAATCCCGGCGCGATTCGCGCCGCTGCTTTCCTTACGTCCCGTCGATCCTGTTTAAACAAAAAAAGGGTGAAAAAGAAAGCGCCCTCGTATTTACGCGTCGCTTCTGCCGCGAAAACTGCATCGTAACGACCCTCGCAACACGTCCCGAGAGTCATTTATAAAGCATCGCGATTCTACTCGTCACACCGATCGTTACATCCGCCAATCATCGGTCGCTCTCTTTCTCTCTCTCTCTCTCTCTCTCTCTCTCTCTCGCTCGCTCGCTCGCTCGCAGTGTTTTCGCGAGACCTTATTTTATGCGCGAAAATATAGGACAGGGCGGGAGATTGGGCGGGATAACCACCGCCTCCCATGTGTTCGCATGATTGATGAAATTTGTGTAGGAGCAACAGGGCGTACTTGCCGCGCGGTATTCCCCCGGCGCAGCGGAGCGACTCTTGATTGATAGAGGACGTTCGAATTTGAAATTCCACCTTGCGCGGCGCCTTCTTTTTCTCACCGGCCGCCGTCGTCGGCACGCGAGCCTTTCGGACACGCACACATGCACACGCACACGCACGCGTCCTCCTCATCACTCGACCGACGAGAACTTCCGCATTTCCGTGTTGGGCGACGAAGACGGCCGTGAACGGGGTTCCTTCCGGCATGATACACGCGTCAGCCAAAGGACACTCGACTTGTTCGCCCCATCGCTCATCCGGGCTAAAAGCCGCTCCGGGTGCTCCGACTCCCGCATACAAACTCCGCACTTTCTCCGTATCTGACGTCCTTGTTGCTCAGTTATTTACAAGTCAAATGCGGTCGGTACGATCGATGCGTGCGGCCAGGACGATCGGGGAAAAGGAGTCGGCGTCTCGAAGACCGCCGCTTAGAGGTAGAAGGGCAAAAGGTGGCATCAGGTTGGAAACGTGCGCGCGGTATCATAGCAGTATCGTCTTAATATCATACCGTACAATATTAATTCTCGTACAATATTAATTCTTCGCATGTTTCCTACCGCGGAATATCTCGCAACGGGTATTCGCTCGGATACACCGCTCGGTGCACGACGCCGCGCCGCGGTGCTCGAAAGGAGAGCGCGCGCGCGCTCTTTTCACCGTCGAATCTTAAAAAATACACAAGCGGAAGAGCGAAAGGAAAGCCGCAACGACGATACGAGTTTAACGGCGAGCGATGCGCGGCTCCGGTACATATTTATTCTGACCCACGTGCTGGCTGGGTCACCGATCGAGCTCAAAAGAACTGCTCCCGCGGCTACACGACGATAAAGTTCCGGGACTCCGAGCAAGTGCGCGACGGCTGCCGCTGCCGCGGCCGCGGCCGCGGCTTTGTGGACAGAGACTTCAAAAAGTTTGCAACGTCGGGAGTAAGGTCGGCCGCGCGCGAAGCGTGTATGCGAAAAGTTGGCCGGAAATCTACGATGGCGCGCTTGTCCCGTTGGAACAAGTTTCGCGGTTCCTGGACGCGCCACCTTCGACACGAATAAATTCCTTTATTCGGTTTTCGCCACGAATAAATTTCGTTTCACATACGGACGGACGGGTCATCCGTCCGGGCACACAAGCTGTCCCGCGAACGTCCGCCGCCGTTTGCACTCTGTTCGCCTCGTTCGCGAAACGACCTTTCGCGTTCTTCGTTACGCGATTTCAATTAGTCCGACGGCGCGGCGACTCGCCGACAACGACGCGACGACCCCTTGGGCGGAATTAAATCATGTTTAATTTATAATCGTCGATCTTCGTCTCGGGCACCTTTTAATTTTCTCTCTCGACTGAGCACACATTCAGTTGGCGGGCTAATACGCGGCGATGCAAAATGTAGACTCTGCGAAAGTGGAACGCCGAAGGTAGGCTGTCAAACGAGCGTAATAAATGGAACGAATGCGCAAATTGAGACATAACGTTGCCGCGATGAATTGTTACGAATTTTTTGAGAATTTTTAAATTCTTTCCAGCAGGTACGACGGTGCGATAACGTCGCACTTGGCCGCGCCCCTCCTCCTCCTCCTCCTCTTCCTCCTCCTGCTCTCTGACCTGACCCGTACGAATGGATTATGCTCGCCGTCTCCCAGCGGAAAGACTAATTTGATGCACAATGTTGGACTCTACGAACCTCGGCGATAATAAAAGGGGTAAAGCGCGCGCTCGGGTCGTCGTGTTGTATTAATTTAACTTTGGCGACGCGTCGACGCGACGCCGGCGTTGAAGAGAGTACGGGCGCGCTGTAACGGTATTAAGCTAAATTGCCAACAGCAGTCCTCTCTCTCTCTCTCTCTCTCTCTCTCTCTCTCTCTCTCTCTCTCTCTCTCTCTCTCTCTCTCTCTCCATCTCTCTTTCTCTCTCGCTCGGTAGGGCGCCCCGTGCACGCCGCGCTCCGAGATTAGCGGGGTTGACTGACAAAAATAAAGGAAGGAAAGGCATGCGAGAGAATACCGGAAGGGTGGATGGTAGCGGCAGACAAAACGGCGGCGTGAAGACGAAGAAAATCCCGCGGGACCCCTGGCAACGACGAACGCTGCCTCAGACATAGTAGTCAGACTTCTCCGATAACACGGAAACTTGAATTTAGCCTTGTCGTGTACCGAGCCTCAGAACAACTTTGTGTAACTGTACGGTACGCTGCATCGATAATACTGATTTTTCATTGTATTTCCGGCGCGTTCTGTTGTGTAGTTACCTCCATTCAACTATACAACCAACTGGAACGAACAGTGCCATTGTTTCTGCCCGATGATCCCGACCAGAGAGAGAGAGAGAGAGAGAGAGAGAGAGAGAGAGAGAGAGAGAGAGAGAGAGAAAGAGAGAGAGATGGTTTCAAGTCGAATATCTGGGTTTATCTTTCACGTATTACCCCAGCAAAAGATAAGTTTATATGTTGAGCCGTAACATGTTAGCGAGACAAAGAAGGCGATCCAGACCAGTGAACTCTATCCAAATCCGAGTGAACGCGGCTATTGTTCTCCGACCATGTGTACCCAATCTGAGAGAGAGAGAGAGAGAGAGAGAGAGAGATAATGTAGGTACATCTATCTTTTCCTAAGATATTATATTTTGATTAAGCTATATAGTACGAAGCACGGACTACAATAGCGAGTTGAACAAGTACAGAACAAGGACAATCCTAACCGGCAGGCATGTCCGCCATTACCTCGACATTCCAGTTAGGGTAAAGTTCGCTGGTCCAGGCACACTGTTCAATGGACGCCGTAGATAAATCGTCCTTTTTGAAGATAGAACAATGCAGAATTGTGTAGATTTCCGCGCCATCTGTAGACTTTCAACATACATTTCTCTAGGGACCGAAATCCGTACGATACATGTGTATTGTACGTTTTTTGTTATTTTCTAACATACATATTTATATTTATTTATTTATTTACCTGTGCGGCGCGCAGTGTTTTTCATTGCTCGGCTACATTTCTACATTCTTCATTTCTCGCTAGTTCGGTCCTAGTGCAGCTCCAAGAAACAGTCTCTAGCGAATTCGATCGCTTGCACTAATACTCACGAGTACACATTAAGATAACAGCCATAATCCTTTATTCTTATATATGTGATTATCTCAAGTCTATCTCCTCAAGTGTTCTGCGTCTCGTTTTATTGGCTACGGAGCATCTGAAGATGGACCTAAGATGATCCTAAATATCAGAACGGACTTTGATCTTGGCCGTAGTGCACATTGATGCATATTGGTGTATTCTGGTGCAAGTTCACTATTAGAGATGGCGTGCTCGTCCAACTCATGTGCAAGAAAGACTGCAACTTACGCACGCCGATATACGTTACGCTTTTCCTCGCTTTCATCCTTACTCGTCACAGTCCGCCATGCGTCTTCGTCAATAAAAACTTTCGTCTCGTTACTCCAATTTTGTGACAACCAGTGACATAAACGACATCGCAGTTGTTGTGCAGTATTTGAAAATAATTTGTTACATACATTAGTAAAATTTGTGAAACAAGAGGAGGATAATTTCCTCGACCATGTCTCTTCTCGCGAAACACTCTGCCAGTTGAACGTACACGTGTTAGGTACAATCTACGATACATAACGTACCCGACTCACAGTAAATGCAGCTCGTTTACTGCAAGTTTTATAATTTCTGGCAAAAAAACGTTTTCCGTGTTGTCTTAACAGCTGGAATCTGGAGAGCTCGCTTTAAACTTAAATATTACGGACCTTATGCAGCAGTGAGAGGCGCTCTTAGCCGAAAAGTTTTACAGTTTTGGACTTGGCGCAAAATACTAAAAGCAGCTTATTGTACCTATAGCGGATCGCAATTAACAGCGGTCGATTGATGTCGAGTGGATCCAAAGTGGGCAGAACGGAGAAACCGCGCTTGCGGATACATATTTTTCGAGTTTATTTAATAATAATCATAATACACACATATGAAGCATGACACTAATATGTTTACTCAGATAAAATTGAAAAGTTATATGAAATACATACGCGGTAAACATTCATCACTCACGTGGAATCATTATGAATGATGTGTGTACACACAGCTATGCGGACAATTATATTGCCGTACATTAACCAAAAGTGTCAAATAGCGCGTGGGATGATTTGTATGGCGTATAAATTATTCAAAATTATCAAGCGTCGCGTATTATTCGCTAATAATTAATTCCGTCGGCGTAATTGTAATATGATTATTCGATCATTTAATTAACATTGATCTATGTCCGCGTTCAACTATCAATAATGGGCTGCACGCGAAACTCGAAACTGGTCGCGCGTCGGTAAATATTAAGCTGTTTCCAGAATATATTAGTTATACACCGCATACCCCGACGGAATATCCCGCGCGAAAGACGAAACTCCCGCGGCTTTATACATGCAACTCCGTTCGGCTAAGTAAGTTTTGCGGTCGCGGTCCCGCAGTCACGTTCTAACGGCCTCGTGCCCGTGCGTTGCCGCTGTTAACAGGATTCCTCGAGATGGGACGGAGGACGAGAACGACAGGCTACTGGCTGCTCTGCGCGGCGCTTACGATCGTCCTGTGTCAAGGCCAGGAGGACTGGATGCAGTGCGAGTCATTTTGCAAGTGCAAATGGGTATCCGGCAAGAAGACCGCCGAATGCAACAAGCAAAATCTCACGCAGATCCCGGCCGGTCTCTCGCGCGAGATCCAGAATCTCGATCTTAGCGGGAATCATTTCGTCAACCTCACCGGCAACGCCTTCAGCCGCGTCCAACTGGTGAATCTGCACAAATTGACGATGCGCGAATGCGGCATCGAGTCGATAGACATAAACGCTTTCAGCGGCCTGAAGATCATTATTGAGATCGATTTGTCGAGCAATAACATCCGGACCCTGCAGCCGGGTGTCCTCTACGAGACGCAAAAATTGAGGGCGCTGCTGCTAAATCAGAACAGGTTGCGAGTGGTAGAGAACGATCTGTTCGTCAACCTCACGTTCTTGCAGAAGGTGTCATTGTCGTACAACCAATTGGAGCGGATCGAGGAGAGGGCATTCCTCAATCTGCCGAATTTGCATTCCCTCGCGTTGGACGGCAATAACTTCAGTTCTCTGCAGCTGCAGAGATTCGAGAAGCTGCCCAAACTCGGTAGTCTCGGCCTGCAAAATAATCCGTGGAACTGTAACTGCCATCTCAGAAGGCTCCGCGACTGGACGATTGAGAACAAGTTGTACACGAATCCGACCACTTGCCTGCAGCCGCCCAACATGCGCGGCAAGACGTGGGACGAAGTTGACAGCGACGAGTTCGCGTGCAGACCGAAAATCACCGTCATCGGCCCGGCGACGAAGATTGAAATGGGCAAAGGAGACGTGACCTTTTCGTGCAAAGCAACGGGAATACCGCGTCCTAAGGTAATTTTACTTTCGTATCAGCGCACGTATAATCTGGGGAACGCGCTCGAGAACATTACTGCTGTGAACCAATCGTCATTTCCGATGCCCCCAAAATCCGCGATGAAAATACACATCTCGTGAATAGCTCATGCTACCACCAGGGTCAATTTCAGATACGGTTACATGAGCGATGGCATTATTCCTATAATCTGGCTTGAGAATTAACCCACATGTCTGAGATTCTCTATACATATATTGGATCGGTCCAAAGATTTGATTCTCTGCCTTCCTCGCCTTCCTCGCCGGTGAATCGCCCATCCTCCGATAACGATAACGATGATACACAAATGTTGCTGAAACTTTGCTGATGGATCACAGACACCCAGCGTCGCTGATTACTTGTTTGCTGAATAATTTGTTTCCCTCGAATTTGCTTTTCCCACAACAAAAATTAAATTCACCGAAAAGTCAGGTCAAACTTTTTAGTTCTGACGCAGTTTGCGTCAGTAACAAGATCGATACTTACTACTCCCATACACCTGCTTGAAGAGTGTATGTACACGAATCCGAGACGTTGCGTGTCTTGAATGTATGTCATATGTATGTATGTGTGCGAAATCGTATGTTTTAGCTGTCTTGGACGCACCGTGGCCGCGTCTTGAACAACAGCGTGAAACGCCCAAACAACGACAGGGGCTACACGCTGACATCGGCCAACGATTGGTTGAACCTAACCTTGATCGATGTGCTGACTTCCGACAAAGGCGAGTATATTTGCCAGGCGAAGAATCCCGGCGGCGACGCCGAGAGGAACGTTACGCTGACTGTGGTCGGCGACATGTTGGGCAAGGAGAACATAATCAGCCTGCCGCTGGCGATCGGACTCGGTGTGATCGCCTTGTGCCTGCTGATTATCACGGTGACTCTTTGCATGTACTACTGCCGCCGCCGGCGTACTAGGCACGACGAGAAGGGTCACGAGGCGGCGTCCATGGAGCACCAAGGTCTCGGCGAACAGGAAAAGTCCCTGATCACCACCATCAACCCTGTGGTGAAGCCGCCGCGCCGCTACGAGGCTTCGTCGGTGACGTCGCATGGCACGGAGATGACGGAGCTGAATCGCACGTTGCTCGACAACGACTCAGTTTTCGGTCAGTACACAGCCTACATCACTAAACAGTGCGCGGCTAGGTGCTAGCGAGAAACGAGCCATTAGTTGACTAAGCGATTACCTCGAAACGCGCGCGCGCGCGCGCGCGCGCATTTCGCGGGACAACGGCGGCGGATGTTAACTCAAGGCCGGTAGGGCGCATCAACGAGGAAGCGCTGTCGATACAGGGCTCTTCAATGGACCGCGTAACAGCGATCGTTTCGTCGGGCAATATCCTTTCCCCCCGGGGGTTAAATGATCGCTATGCATTGTTTGTATAATGTACAAATAAACGTGTGTGCGTGCATGCGTGCATGTGTATACAACCGCGAATCGATTTGTTCCGTGCCGCGCGAATTCTCCGTCTTGCGAATTCTCCGACAGTTGAATGAGGTATTATCGATCTTGGGGTAACGAGAGTCCATCGAATGGCAGCTAGGAGACTAATGAAGATCCGTTAGGGACGCTTATGATACCTGCGTATCCCTTAATACAACATTGTGTTACGACAGCGCGAAAGCATTTGTCACTTGCGTTCGGCTACCGATAACCGTTTTGCGTAGGTGTGTGCGATAACACTCCCCGTAAATGACAATAACAGGGAGCAGATCTTGATTTAGCTTCTCGGGGAGACTCGAGACTGTTAATTACGACTAACTTAGCGAGTCGCCGTGATGTACAATTGCAAACTCGAGTAATGACGACAATAAGGCTGACCCACGACGAGTTTATGTTGCATGCATGGGTGTGCGAACTACCGGTGACGAGGATGTTCTTCGATGAAATTCACACACACGGGGAAATCACACGCGGTAGCGTTTCGGCTGATCAAAACGCAGCGCGCGGAGATAAAATTATTTTCCCAACTCTTGCATGCTGACGACGCGAGCTGATCTCGATCTTACTGACAGCTTTAACTTGACTTGGTCTGGTGCAGCGTCAAAGCATACGCGATGCACATCGGCGAGCGTTCAACGATCGCTCGATCAATGACCGAGTGATCGGATAAACGTGGTTACATTTTTCGGTGAGATTGAGAGCGCAAGCCCTGAATGCGATCGTACCGCGACTGATCCGACCAAGAGCACTCGTCCATGCTCGTCCACGAAGCCTTTGCCATCGAGCCGAACATCGGAGGCAACGTCATGCCGACGCCGTGTTAACGCTAGCAGGCCGCAGCAACGTCCTGGCGAGATTGCGTCGCCGTGCGCGTGAACGACGCGGCGCATCCCTCTCGACTCGACCGCGTGTTGTTGTACCTCCTGCGCGTGCAATTTTTTTTCCGCTTTTCTTTTTCTCAACCTCTTTCTCTCTTACATTTTCTTTTTTAACGTTCGCCCTTCTCCTTTGTTCATGTTGACGCAGCTGACGGTGTCGGGAGCGGTGTCGTCGGCGGGGTAGGTGGCAACGTAGGCGACGACGAGAGGGAGCACGAACGGACTACGCCGGAATTCGACGGTGGTGGCGGCGGAGGTGGTGGTACGTTGCCACGTGGTGGTTCGGGTTACCATTACCGGCAGTACCCGCCGGACTTGTTGGCCTTCTCCGGCGGGCGCGGCGCGTCGCCGACTAGCCAAGCGTCGACGGTGCCTGACAACACGCGCGTGCCTAATCAGCACGCGGCAGCGATGACGCCGGTAACCACGCCGGTGACAACGACGGTGGGAGTCCCGTCGTATGGCTCTCTGCCGTCAGCCGGTGGCCAATATCCAGCCGCCTTCAAGACGTTGCCGCACAGTCGCAGCGTCACTCCGTACAGCCTCGGCCCGTCGTCGTCCTCGCCGATGGCACCGGTGCTGCCGCGTCACGGCTACGTGACGATTCCGCGACGACCGCGGGCACCCAGCTGGAGCAGCGGACCCCCGACGTCTCCCATCGACCGCCTCGAGCCAGTCTACGACAACCTGGGCCGGCGCACCACGGCGGACGGTAGCTCGGAGTTGTCGCTCAACAAGACAACTTCCGAACCAACGTCCTCGTCCATGAGAGGCCGACCGCTGCCGAGTATGCCGGGCTCGCACTACGGCACGATCCAACGCAGCACACCCAACATCCTGTCCAGCAGTTCCCTGGACCGATCGGCGCCGGAAGGCGCAGCCGAGTGGCCGATCAATCTGACGGACGAGAGTATGGAAAGCGGTCACGCGTTGTTGGCGCAGCAACAGGCCGCCAGCAGCAACACCCTCGGCAGGAAGGTGCCGCCGAGGCCGCCGCCGAAGCCGAAGAAGAAGTCCGCCAACGGACCGCTGTACGAAGACGAGGGCGAGGACGGCACGGAAGTATGATCCCACGGGCATCGTCCGCGATGAGGACGGCTGGTCGTAGTCCGCCACGACGGGGTGCGCACGACCACATTTACAATAAACCGGTAGTGCCTTCCGAGACCTTCCGTGCGCGGGCGCACGCGGAAACTTTCGCCGCGTTCAGCGAGGAGCGGTCACTCGGAGAATGACATGGAAAGCGTGAGCAAGTGCTTCGGGGAGGACCTCCGAACCACGAGGACGACGTGGTGAGGTGGACGCGGAGTGGTGGATGACGGACGACGGGATCGGACTGATGTTGTGTGCTACTCTGATGCCGAAAAAGACCGTGGACGATGACTTTGACGAGAGAACGCGCACACGGTTTGCTCCCTTCTTCCTGAGGTTTGTTCCCACTTTCCTTTCCTCGTACCTTGTAAGTTATTTATTGAACCGCGCGCGCTGTCCGAAGCATCCGCACTCGGAGCCCAACGTATCGCAGTTCGCGCGAGTTATTTTTTACCGCGAATCGATCGCCCTTCGATTCGGAGCGTCCGCTCCGTCTCATTCCTCGCCTCCGAGATTGCGGCTCTGTCTTCTCCCGTGTCGATTTTTTTCTCTCTCTCTCTCTCTCTCTCTCTCTCTCTCTCTCTCTCTTTTTTTTTCCTCTTCTATCGGGTTCCTCTGGCGCTTTATTTGGCGCTCGCTACGCGCGGTGAGGTGATAAACGTGATAAATGTGAATAAGGTTCCGGACATTGCTGCCGGCGCTTAGTCGATAAGGCGAGACCTGTTCGCGTTTCGCGCGACACTTACGCGGCGAAATACGAAGCAGCTGGAAGTAACCGAACGCAAATCGCTATCGAGAGCGATGACTGTGAATTCGTCTTCTATTCGTGTGTACATGTAATGGAGAATCGTACCGCGCTCGTACGATTCTCGCATATATAAGCGGAAGTTTATTAAGAATCAAAGAGGGGCTTCGGACGAACGTAACGAGAATTTAACGCTGTTAAGGATCTCCATATAGCTTACACGTCATCCCGTTGCCTTTTCTTTCCCTCCATTTTTCGTTTTCCTTTTCAAACGTTGAAACTTCGACGCTTGTGTCGAACCGTAGCAAAGATTCGTCGCGAACACGCGACACGAACTTCTCGAGCTGTAAGCTTAATCGTGAAAAACGGGTCATCGAGCGATCCTTGTCCCTTCTCCTTCGGTAAACGCATCGTTAAACCGAACTTCGCTCCTTCCCCCCCCCCCCTCCTGTAAGACGGTGTGTCACCTTATATAATAATATATAATATCGATACCGTGGTGGTCGTGACTGCGTTGAAACGGAGATAAAATATCTATCGCAACAATGTATAAATTTAAAAGTAGATGTAAGTGCGACGATAGCCCCCATCCAAACGCCGCGTATGTGGAAAATGATAAAAACAAAAAAGAGAGAAGAAGAAGAAGAAGAGGAGAAAGAAACGCGCGTGTTATTACGGAATATGCGTACGATAAGATGATGGTTTCCATTACGAGCCAAACGAGCATACGTAAGTATTATATTTCCGCGCGCGTGATACTTCCGTCGATGCTAATTGCGTAAAAATTATATCGGTGACTTTTCAAAAGTTACGCGCGCAATCAATTAGCGCGGGAATGACCGGACGATCGGAGTAACAACGTATTTCGGAAACGCAGCCAATTTGACGTCGCTGTCCAATTGGTCACTACCGCCGCACTCGTCGCATCCGTCATACCTAGCATTGGATAACACCAAAAATGACCAGTTTAACGCGCACGGTCTCCTGTCGACCCAAATTTACTACGGAGCTCTAAATTAATTGAACGTTACGCGCGGCGCGTTACAATTAGTAACAATTACAGCTCGATTGTTAACGGCATCGGTCGGCGACGGCCGTGAGGCAAAAATTGTCGGCCGAAGCGCTGCGCCGACGAGCGTCATCATCGATATCGCGAATCGGGAGGACAACGATAGGACGCGAGTGCGCGCGCGCGTGTTGCGTTAGGTGGACGTGATTTAACAAGACGGCGATATTACGACGTGCCGTAAACGCGGGAGTGAGAAACGGAATTCGACGCGTCCCATTTTGAGATACGTTCTCGATCGTACGATTCCACCGTCGACGACAATATATCGTAAAGTAGAACGTCCACGCGAGCGATATATCATTCGACGGGCCGAGGACTTATGGTGCCGAATACATGATGGCCGATAAATCGTCTTCTTGAAACTAGAAAACATGTGACTCTCTTTCGGTCGATAGCGATCGTCACGGGGCGCAGCCGGCGCACATTTTTCCCTCTTTGAGTCGACGCCGTTTTTCTCCACGTGGACACTCAAGTTTTTTGCGACGCCGGCGCCCGCCCGCCGCGGTATGAGCGTGCGTGCACGAGTCTCCTCCTCTTCCTCCTCCTCCTCCTCCTCCTCCTCCTCCTCCTCCCATTATCTGCTGCGTTGGTTAATCCTGTCGATTCGGCGTTTCCGTAGCACGAAACATCAAGCCCTGCGATATATCGCGATAAGGAGAACTTACGCGCGCTCATACACAACACACACGGAAGAGAGAGAGGGAGAGCTGGCCTCGCATCCACCCACCCCCCTGCATTACCCTACGGTTCAACCGGCGATACTTCACCCGGTAGGGGCCGGAGAACGTTCTTTAACTGCGAATTTATCGCCGGTGCGAGCTACCTGCTCGTTTATGCTTCTGTTGCTTTTTATCCGGAGGATTAACGTTCTATTTCTCTGGCTTTAGCTGGGATTTCAGACGCGATTGTACACAACTTGTTGCAATTGGGCAACGGCGCGGCGGCCAATCCGCTGTAGCTCCGCGGTAAAGTGCCAAGCAGCCGGCAGACGTATTTCCAATGAATCCCGCGCAAACTTGACTTACCGCCGAGCAGCGATACTTGAGTGTCTGAAGGGCGCTCACGATCAATCCTCCCGTCGGGCAGACCCGACGCACAGGGCTCGCGCTCCTCGCGCACTCGAGACAAGACTCGCCGGGTCCTTCTCCTTCTTAATGCATCGCGCGGTATCGCGTCGGAATGTAACGCCGCGAAAGTACCGCGGAAGGTAGCACCCTTCATCACGACTCCGGCTTCGCCGCCGCGCCGCTCGACAACTCCCGCTGTTTTTCCTTACGCGACTGTACTCTCTATTTGCCGCGACAGTTTTCAATATTAAAACGTCACGACGCTGCCATCGCGAATTAATTTCCCTTAATTAAATTTCACTTAGACCTTCGAATGGAAAATAAACTCCCCGTTTATTCCCTGCACGCTGCGCCGAAAAACCTCCCTCAATATTTTGCAATATCGCGCGTGTCACGTCTCTCGCTGAAGTGAAAACTCGCCGAACGAATTCTTTTCGATTCTCCTACTCCTATCTGCTTGCATTTCGTCACACATTGTCCAGTATGTCATCAGGGTTTCTCGCTTATTCCGACGATACTTCTCCGGATCCGACCATCGACATGAGAATATCTGAGGCGAGCATGCGTGCACGATCGTGTGAACAGAGAGGTCGTTGCTTCTCACGCGAGTTTCGGAAACGCACCCCCGTATTTTGCCCAGTGGGCAAGATTTCCAGAGAAGAAAATTCCCCACTGGGCAAGACGTTTCGAAGCGCCGAGGAAGAATAGCGCGAACAACCTTTCTGTCTGCGATCGGCTTCAATGCGGCTTTTTTCTCGATGCAATTTGGAGAGCATCCGATGGTGCAGTGAGGCAACTTAATTTATGGGAGCTAATCGGGAAGACAATTTTCCTCGTCTCGAAGTGACGGTGTAAAATAATGACCTTTTACTATACTCTTATCTGATAGATCTTATCTGATGAGGATATAATAAAGATACTCTTACGCTTTTCCTGAATCCTCCGTCGCAGTTGCAACGTCAGATGTCCCATACATCATCACCTCGGCTCCTGTTACAACAGGAGCCGTGTGAGTTCACGAGTAGTGGCTCCGATGCTCTCCTAACTTCATCGAAAAACAAATGTACTTTGCAGATGATCGTGCACACGTGGAAAATGTTGACGACCTCGCGACAAACTGGCGTATACTTGAAAAGAAAACGCTACTTCAGTTCGTCGCGAACGTCACAATTCCAGTTCGCAAATTGACACAAAGCCGTATATATAGCCGAAGCAGCCGCACGACGGAAATACTCGAAGCGTCTCGTAACTTCCCTCTTGCCGTTAATTAGGCTCTTCCCTCGTGAAACACTCGGTCTAGAGTATTCTTATGTCGATGGGTCCGACGTCGAGATGTGCGACGCGCAGCGCGCGACGACGGTGACCGGAGGTCACCGGACCGGAGACGAGATGCGATCGATAAAAATCGGTCTTCACGCGTCCGTTCCCAGCCGAACAGTATTAACGCTCGAGGCTACGAACAGTATTGTGTCTCGGGCGCGGGGAAAAGAGCCGGCCCGGGTGAGACGTGGCGGAGAAAATAGCGACGCGGTCGTGTCGGCTCGATTTTTCGCCGCGCCGCTGCGATAGACGAGCAACGAACTCGACGAGTTAAACTCGGCGTGCGTTACCGTGGCTATCGCGTTTAGAGAAGAATGTCCGATCGTGACAAGCTGAGTAACGAGATGCGGTTTCTCCTAGAAACCAAATCGACGGTGGTGCCAATCGACGGCGACCTTTGTCTCTGTTTCTTCCGATGTCGAATTAACGTTACACGGAGGGGGGAGGGAGGGGGGGGCATTGTTGCGCTCACGCGCTGTTTCTCTCTGTCTGTCATGTTTTTCGTCTAATTGCGACTCGTACTGTCCCGCTCGACAGTTCAGGAGCTCTATCATGAAACTGTTTTCGATCGGTATTATTCCGTTTTCCATCCGGATAAAGTGCTACCGTGGATATTTGAATGATCGGAATGGTCTCGCGACGCCGCGCGAGTAAGCGGTACATCGATTCCGATCGGTACAATGTTACAGAAGTGTCTTGCGCCGTGGTGGCTGCAGATCGCTAGCGCTTATTCATCGTCATACCGGGGGTACCACCGGGGATCCATGACGATTCAAAGACACGGACAAAATGACGATCGAAAAGACCCGGCCAAGCGGTTCCGTGATAACTCTCCAGAATTCGCGTGTCGGGAGGACGAGAAGAGATCATCCCAATGAGAATACGATATGAATGAAGCGCGCGAAAAATCGAACTCGCACGGTCGTAGCTCGTCGGGCAGTATTTTAAGCGGCCTAGCAGAGTCGCGGCTCGCCCTGTTCGACCCTCGTGCCGTGCCATGTACATACACACATTCGCTCTCTCGATTGCACCCAACCCGTAAACGCTGTTCATATATTGTAAATGCTACACGCGAAGAAGGAAGCCCCGCACGGCACGTCAGGTCGTTACGGCGCCACGAGTATATTTTTGTAATTTTGTATTTTGAATTGTGCGCTCCGCATCTCTCTCACAACGTCTCACTCGGGCCGCGATCGGCCGACCGACCGACCGGCGCGCAGCGGAGGAGGAGGAGGAGGAGGAGGAGGACCCGATTGTCAATACCGCGGGCGCGATCATCCCTCGAATGCGCGCGTTTATCGAGTAGGCTTGGGGGAGGGCGATGGAGATAGAGGTAACCCCGACAGAGATCCGCCCGCGCGCGTCCCATTTAACACTGTGGGAAAGTGCTGCGCGCGTCCGATAGTTAACGAAGCCCGTACGTAACGTCATACCCGCTGCCCATCGCATCGGGATAATTTATTGATTGTCGCCGAGAGTGTATCCCCTGAATTGCGATTGTGGAGCGTCTCGCTTACACGCACCGTGTGCCGCCGCATCGCGAACGCTCGATACCGGTCGATCGCGAAATCGGATCACATCCGACGTCCATCTCCAATGCAACCGAGTACGCGTATCTTCCATGACGCGGAGCTCTCCGGCTTATCGAGTGGAACCTACCGTAGCTGCGCTAATAACGAGATAATGGAGGAAATACCAGGGAGAGAGGGAGAGAGAGAGAGAGAGAAAGAGAGAGAGAGTGGTTCCTCGACGTTCAACCGCCGTTCGGGACGGAACTGTTTGACCGTCGTGAGAACAATCGCGCGTCTTATTTCGACGAATAACGAGAGAAAAGCACGTCGTGTCGTTCGCGTTTTAACCGCATCGGTTTGTTCGATCCTGGTCGGGGATACGCTGGACAAGAGAAGAGGCAAGGAAATTTCACTAGCGGTCGTTCTTTCGCCAGACGTTATGCCATTGTACGATTCGTCACGAGGACGGCGTTGCCGGCAGGACAGTTGATACGTGCGTTAATATACCGCCGCGGTGAAATTAAAACCGTGACATCGCGCGAATAAACGCGCCTCACATCGAGGTCATTTAACACTTTTCTGACAACGCGATGTACATCGCAAATTCTCTGCGCTCAATTTCCCATCCTACTGCCGCCGCCGTATTGTTGTTACGCGATATTCCAAATATCGTACGCACGCACACTCTTTGCTTCCAATATCTTTCGATTTATGCGCGCGTTCGTGAAGTGTAACGGCAATTTACATTAAAATAGGATAATTTACGACTGACGCAGGTAAGCGTATTTAGCGAACCGTTCCACACATTTGTGCGCGCTGCCACGACAACAGCAGAGTCTCGTCTCTGTGTTTTTCGGAATTAGCAGTAGCGTCGTTTTAGAGCAATTTCAATTCGTATTCATTATTATACGCCGCGTTTTTGCGATCGCGCACGTGATCTTGATGAACGGCCTATTTCGAGTTTCGCTTTGCGCTTTTCTTTTTCGCGCATAGACACGCAATGGGAAATACGACACGACACACCGTTGATTCTTATTGGTGTTTGACGCTTCATAAATCTCTCTCGTAAACGCCAATGAGAGAGAGAGCGATCAATCGAAGGTACCGTCCAGTAGACCGGTCCAACTCTTGCCATTTTTCGAGCGATTATTTGCGCGAATCTAATTAGAAGGTTTTTTTACGAGGCAATGTGTTTTTCGTAGAGTACAGTTCAGCGAGAGGAGCGTTCGTACCGACTTCAAACCGAATACTTGGCATTCTCCATTAACCGACCGCGCACATTCCACGAGATAATTTTGTGCTCGATGATTGTAGCGTGTAGAATGTTATGTGCATTTGGACGAGCCGCTCAGTAGCCGCTTTTACCGAGAAATTGGATATTATTCTTTAGAGAAGGCTAAAACTGTTTAGGAGACATGTACATACATTCCCTGTGTACGTAGAAATATCCATGAGGGATCTTCCGTTTGCAATTGCGAATTCCTCGCCTCGCGGTGGATATATTTTATGAACCCACAAATCGTCGTTACAGATTATTCCCCTCTCGCTCGTCGTTATTTTTCCGAGCATGATGATTGCACAGCAGTCGAAAGTATTCGGTAGATGACCTGATGATTATTCGTCACTCAAGACTGACATTTTTTAGAATTAGGATATTTTCTGGTTTTTACGCTGGGACCCATGGGCGCAGTTTTTCGGTTGTTCATATCGAGGAGAGGCAAATTGCATCGATACGTCAGAGCGCATAAGTCAATGTGCAGCGCCACCGTAAATTTTTTCCAAGTTAATCTTGGTGCGGTGCACCATTCGTTTCCGACACTGACAAAGTTATTCCTGTTTTTAACAAATAATTGGCCAGCTGCAGAAATTGCGCGTGAATGCGGATGGTTATTATCGTCGAACGAGTGAACGAAACTCAACTCTCGAATGATGATCGTTTCCATAACGTTCCCGTAACGATCCGTCACGGAACGATCGTTACTTGGTTGAGTGAAACGAGTCCTTTCCATTGCGCACAGACTATCGTTGAAACTGCCTAATCGCCATGCCCAATGGCGCTAAATCTTGAGGAGAAACGTTTCTAGTGCGCGTGTAAGATGAAAAACGTACGTACAAGGTGCGCTGCACGAGACGCGAATTATGAATGATAATTCCGTTGACACGTGGGGCTATGATGTCGTGCATGAGTCACATCTAACTCAACGAATACACATTTCTCTGTGAATTATGTCGTGAATTGAAAAAGAAATCGAGCAAAGAATCGAGCAAGAAAAGTAACATTTCATTGGCATAATTTCGTATCTCGCACAACGAGAGAGAAAGAGAGAGAGAGAGAGAGTAAGGTGAGATTGTACGAGATAGGAAGAGCATGAGAAGATGTTTTATCGAGATAAGTCAGAACGATAATGTGAATGTAAATGATTCGTATTTGCGTGTCTCACATGTTGTAGATAATAATCTTAATCCGAAATATACCATCTGCGTTTTTGCCAGATTCTACGTGAATCAGGAGCGTATGTCGCGATGGTCGACGTGAAATTTCACGCCTGCCAATATTTTCGCCAGGATGGTTCGTTATTAGTTATTTCTATTAATATACATTATTATTATTATTATTAGTATTAGTATTATTAATCTTACTATGGTTATTACTACCGGTTTACCATTACTATTATAATTTTTTTAATATTATCGCAATTTTTTACACTTTTTATATAATGCTATAATTATTATTATGTGGTTACGGAAGTTGTAGGGTTTCATATCGGGTTTTCTTGATCGAGTAGTCCTACACCACAATCCTACAAGGCGGGCTAATGATCCTGGCGACCCGAGTTGTAAGACGAAGGGAAGATTAATGCATTTTGGATTATTTTACTAGGACGGCTCGCCGCGTAACCCGGCGTGAAATTTCGCATCCTAATTATTATACGCTGTAACGCTGTTAAGTTTACACTATTATTAATACCGCCATTATTGTCGTCATTACTATAATTATTTACAATGGATACACCTTTATCATGTAACGGACATCTGAATTTTGTGATTTGATATAATGTTTCAGCCGAATATAATTTAGATGATATATTGAAAAACTGGCGCGCGCTGTAAATATTATATATACATATTTTATAAAAGAAATATTTAGTGTGATTGTAATATTACGATAATGTACTGAAAGCACCACTCTGTACACTCCACTGAATATATATGAGTTAAATTTTAATAAATACTTCCCAACCTCATGTCTCTTTCTCGTCTGTATTGTATATATGTATGTATCTTTCTCAATAATCCGTTTTTCCGTTTGTTAATTTAGGTGATTCTATTCTTATATTGGTGAGTATTAATAAATAAACATAGAATGTTTTATTTAAAAGCACATGTATTTTTTTGTCTTTTCTTTTTTAGGAAAATATCCATTATACACATTTCTTCATCATCAAAAAAAAAATATAATACGCTTTTACTTCACCGTCTAATTTTATATATTTATGTTCGAAATACCCATCATTACAAAATGTCATGTTCTCTCTATTCTCTCTAATCTTTGTCCTTTTTGGTTTCTTTTCTTAGCTTGGATAACGCAGTCTCACCGTATTTCTCCATCAACTCTTTGACAAATTCGTCCTTCAACCTTTTAAGACATCTGTGAAACAAATGACACACATCTCCTAAATATCGTAGAAAGTAAAACACACCGACGGCTGACTATACCCACACTCTGAATTTCTCTGGAACAAAGAATGCACGTGTATTACCTTCTGTAAACGGAATCACTCCGAAACTTGCCAATGTCTAAACTGGGGGCATGAGGTCGATGGATAATAAATGTGTCCGGCAATACTATGTACCTAAAAAGGTAAAGAAAGCTTTAGTTCTCGATTTAAATATGCGCTGCATTGATTTAGTCGCTCGTGGCTCAAATATTTCACGAAACAGATGAGTTAAATTATTGCAGCTTACTTATAACCTAACGCTGTTAAATGGGTCACGTAGGAAACTTTATTCCACCCAAACCCGATAAACCTTGTGTCATATCGCGGGGCAGATTTCGAAACTACTATGTAAGGTTCGAAATCCGGCTCCCACGATACCTGCAACGATACGTTTTCATTACATTCTCGCTGGTCATTCTTGTATATTTATTACAAATTTTAAATTCGCTTTAATTCATATATATATATATATAGCTTTCCAGAAAGAGGCGTTAAATTCTCCATCACATATTTAACACATACTTCATACGGTTCCGAGCTGCTTCGCCAAACGCTATAATTCGTAGCGGCGTGACCTTGCGTCCAGACGTGATAACGAAATGTATATAAAACACCACGTTTAAGAAATTTTAGCAATTCCTCCTTATTAGCCGGGAAATCAAATCTGTGAAAAGTAGCTCTTTCGTTTATCAGACACAAAAGATAGTTTGTTTATGCGCTATCGTAGCAGATGATTACCTGTAACGTTCGGTTTCGAATGCTGGCACGATTAGAGCTATTTTATCCGACTCGTTAATATCCAATTTATTAATGTAGCCCATAATATTTTCATGCAATCCAAGTTGTGGCAAAAAATCGATATCGAGTTGAAAGATGAACGGGGTTGACACGTATGACATCGCAGTATTTCGTAAGTAATTAATAGGATAAAGTTCCTAAATGAGATAATTATTTGGAAAATTAGTTCGAATTTTACCTTTAGAGAATAACGCGAGATACGATATAGATCATTCTACATTTGGCGCTCATATTCGATCCTGAAGAGCACAATATACTAAAAAAATGGAGACAGAAGAACGACTTTATGAAATGAACAAGATATAAATTTCTCAGGCAACCTTTAAATTTGCGTTTATCACCCGGAAATATGATATTGAGAAATGATTTATACGATTCTGTCACTGAACGTTCAAGCTGTGAATTCGCTAGCGCTCTTCAAGACCAAAAACGCCGCAACGCACTCCGTCTTTGTACACAACGTGATAAGCGATGTTCCTCCTCGTCCGCAAATCTGCAGAGCCTCGCACAAAGTCCAGGAAGTTCTGAACCTCAGCGTCGGTCAGGTAAATCGCGACGCTTATAGTTCCCGGCCAGTGTTTTGATAACGCTTCCAGCAGCGGTATCCTTTCGACGCTACATTGGGTAACCAGAGCGACGTCCATCGGCGAGTACATGTTGTAATCGTACTCCAGAAGAAACGGATGCGTGCGGTATAAAATGCTGGCGCTTTTCTCGAATTCTCGACACGGGCTCGATTCGTTGTACTGAAACAACGAAATCGCGCAACGCGAAAATCTCTGACGGTGCATTTGACGTGAAATGAGAATAAAACAAGAAGCGTACGATGAGGAGAGGAGGAGAAAGATTTGGATTCTCAACTCACTGGAAGCGCACTCTCGTGCTTATCACAGCCGAATAAGCGTCTTCGCAATAAATTGCCGTCCATTTCGAGGAAGACCCGGTGCAATTTTCGAAACTCGTTAACGTGCTTATTGCGCACGTCTTGCTTTCGGGGCGAGTTCCAGTGGAGAATCTAAAAGTGAACGACGCATTCGGTATCAATCGATATCAGTGCCGTCCGGGCAGTAGCAGGCAATCGGAAGTTGCAGCGACGACGTACATTTATACGACTACTGTCGCGATAACACGTGTCGCTTATCGTGCGATCGCTCAGCTGTATGTTCCAGGTACACTCGATCCTATACACAATACTTGGATGCTCGTTGATCACCGCGTTTATCACGTCCTGGTCGGCCAGGCTGGTCTTTGGTATGTATCCCAGCACGCGCTTAGCAACGCTCTCCCACGAGCTTGTAAATTTCCCGTCGCGGAGCCGTTGCAAGTGCATTAGCATGACGCCCGTATTAAATCCCCGGCCCAGCGCCGGCCACGGTCGCTGGCCGTACGACAGCGCCTTTATATACCAGTTGCTCTGATTCTCGATTAAGCCCAGAGTCTGGCCGGTCGAGAACTTTTCGAACATTCCCCACAACAGGCTCACGTCGTTCAAAACGGTTACGTCCGTGTCCAACACGAGCACTTTGTCCTCTCGTATCGCGTCCGGCAGTATCAACTTCAAGAGACCGTACACCCCCGAATAATGCTTGTTCGGTATCCACGACACCCTCGGCACCCACACCTCAGCGCCGTAGAACGTTATGTTCACTAAAATATATATATAATCATGTCGGCCAATCAACCCAACGGGATATACATATATATATATATATGCTATCTCTTTTAACGTCCTAGTTTCTCAAGTAGAGTCAACTGCATCTATTATTCGAATTCGAATCGACTCTTGCCTAATGCGAACGCTTGCTGTTCAGATTCAAACTATCTGAGAATTTCACCTCGCGGAATTTTAAATATAAATTTCGCGCGTATCAACGTATCTTTCCAGAAAGATCGTATTTAATATCAAGTGTTAATTGATTCTTATTAAGATCCGACAAACGCAGCAAGATCCAACTTTGACTTTCGGCTCCCAAGATCGTTGTTTTTCGATTGAACTCTTAAGAGGAATCTCAATTAAGAATTAAATAATTAAGAAGAGATAACAAAGTTTCAATGTTAATAACTGGTATTGAGGATAGTTTGATGCGGAGGGTTCATTCATCGCGTACACTGCGAGTCCTTGATTCGTACATCTCTGTTCCGAGGCTCCTGATTCCTCGCCACGGATCTCTCGATTGATGATCTCGTCAAAAGCGAGAAAATATACGCACAAAATTCTTGCAAAATACGGCAAAGTGAAAAGATGTATCCATAAACACCATAACACCTGAAATCGATCGAGCACATCTGTAAGAAATAGTCCGAGCGCTTTCTTCTTTTTCCAACACTCGATAAGTACGATAACCGTAAGATTAACGTGACATAGAATCTAGGAACGGAGAAAAATATCAAAAATATTCGATTGTTAATTTTGTTGTCCGATCAAATACCCGATTAAATACACCGGATATTTGATCGGATAAGGAAATTAACAATCGGCTATCTCGGATATTTTTCTCAGTGTACCATTTTGATCTATCCTTTCCCATCATTCCGCCACATTAATTGTACAATTTGATCTCCTTTTTATAATTTTATGTCTTCTTTTTTAATTAACAACGTATTTCGCAAGAGTTCTTAGAGTGTATTTTCTCGCTCCTGGCATCATAATTGAAGACAGCCACGGCGAAAGAAACAAGAGTAACTTAACGATAGATTCTCCGGCTAATGTAGAGTTGAATCCTCCTCGGGGAAATTGTCAAGGCACCGATAATTTTCAAATTACGAATTACTAACATTTGAGAAAGGCCGGCTTCTCGCAAACTAAACTTGGAGGAAGCCAATTAAAGAGCAAAACGTTCTTCGGTTAATTTTGCAGTTTGCTTTTGGAGTTTGCTTGAGTAAAAAGAAATGTTAACTTGGAACCAAGTCGTAAAAAAGTACACGAAAATGTTAAAAATGTTAAATATTGGACAATTGTAGGAAATGATTATCTTTCTCGATACACATTTTCGCTGAGAAAATCTCGTCTGCAAATGGTTACATACGCATGTACGCGCGGTTTCAAGTAACTCGTGTAGGACACGTATCTACCGGATTCACATCAGCGTTTCTCTTACGCCCTAAAAAACACGAGTATCTCTGAACAAGCCTTAATGACGTCTAAACGCCCGCCGCCTAAACAGGGTAGGACGTCGTTTCGACGTCTTTCAAACACTCGCGTCGAGTTTCCCGTCGTTACGAAATAGCGCGACTCGTAGGCGCGCAAATTTTTGAAAATCATTTTGCCACACTTATACAGTGATATTTCAATGTCCTTCGTGCATATTTACACGCGTATTCACGAGCAAATGCCTTTCAAAAGCATAAATTTTAATAAAACTGTTTACGCGCGCGCGCGCGCACGCACACAGACACTCACAGACACCCGTGCACACGCGTGTGTGGACTTGTGTTGAAAAATTCAATAGACGAATTTCAATAGACGGTGCCGCGTTTGTGCTTGGGGAAAATAATTTCTTTTTATATATCGCACATCGTTTCCGCGCTCTCTAACATACAGGGCGGATAAAAATTAGGTTTTTCCGCAGCGGCGTGCGTTACAAAGGATAGTGCGTGAAAGTCCCTGTCGTAAAAGCGTACGAACCATGCGGCAAATCCCACGTTCGGAACAGGGTCGAAAGCGTTCTCCTCGCAATTTCGTCAACGAGCAAATGAAAATGCAACGGATTCGTGCGATAAAACAGAATAGACTTCACTACGGTTACGAGGGTGAGGGTTGAGTTGTATCCGGCGCACACCATGGCTACGTGTACGGTGTCGCATTTCACCTTGAAGATGTAGAACATCAGTCGTCAGTACGTGCGTATATGGCGGACGCCATCGAAAGGAAGCTTCACGGCCATACCTCGATATTGTTTCCTAATTGCGGCCCCTTGAGAAAGCGACCTTCCATCCGCAGCTCCGACCTCTCCGTCCCTACCGGCAACGACCGCCATTTCTTTTCGATTTTCGATCCTCTCTGCTCTGCGGAAGGTACTAAAAGTAACGTGCCAATGTTCTCAGTGCTCGGGGAGGGATCGATAGATGACATTGCAATTACCATTTAACGACAAGTATATGTAAAAGAGCACGAATGGCGTCAGGACGATGAAGAGCCACCATAGCCATGACCGAGCCATGATTCTAATATGCCGAACATGTTTCCCAATTCGCGATATGATGTTGCGACCAAGTTAGACTAGACGCACGCTGGAATCTACGAAAGAAAGAATCCATTTTTCAGCATCACACACGTGCTGCGATCGCATCAGCGAACCCTCGCTGCTCCCCGCCTCAACGTGAGACCGGAACAGCCGCTCGAGTTTCGCGTCTTACGCACGAAAGAACAACATTATCTCGGATGTAGGATTACAGGTATGTAAGTCGATCTTTGTTTAATTAATTCCGGTTAGTGCCCGGTGCAGTTAATTCAGCCGCTTTGCGGAAGTAACGCGCCGATTATCTTTATCTCGTTGAGCGCGGTTAATATTTAATTTAACACCGCGGTGAGACAGTGAAATATTAACGGACGTAAAACTTTGTTCGCGCAATTCACCGCGTGATATCAGCCGAAGGAAGAAAGTCAATAGATCATGCATAACGGCGCACCGGGCTTATGAATGTGTTATACCAAATTTTCTCATGCGCGCATACATGTATTATATATACAGGTAACAACACAATGAGCACGACGTAATCATAATGCATGCAAATTAGCGCCGTAAATGAAAACGTAATGTTACCCGCGTAGAAATTCCGGGGATAATTATGCAAACGGAGCGCGAATTCATGCGTCGACGTTCGACACGCGAAGGCAGATGTTAACATTGTAAATAGCGCCGGGGCGAATAAACGTAGCTTGATATATTAAATCGCGATTGACATTGAGAGGAACACGGTAGAAGACAGTATTTGTTTGTTAACGTTTATGTAATTACGATCGAGTAGACATATCGGGTAATACAACATGTCCGCTGTCAGCATCATCGTATACACGCGACACCCTCGATACTCATAACTGGACCAGCGCGTGTCGCACGCGCTGTACACGTGCGCGTGACACGTCAATAGAAACTTTTACCAAATATTCTCTTTGGACGAAACAAAAGTATCATCGCGAATCATCGCGGTTGCGACGCGGCTGCTTAAGATCGCGCGGTTCCCGGCGCGAGAAGATTTTCCTTTCTTTTTCCGCACTTTTGGCGTAGCGCACGACGCGTTGTATCACGAGTGTGCTGCACGTTTAGTTTAATATAGAAAATTTTATTTAATACAATTTAATAGAAACACAGAAATTCTCGAAATGAATAATGTCCATCCCTACCGTCGCTCTCTTTGTCGGCAAAGCTGAAGCGAAGGAGCGACCAGCACCATTCGCTAACGAGTTAGTCCAGGCAATAGGCAGGCTGTTTGACCCCTTTTGGAGGCTGCGCTCTTTTCCGAGCATCCTACATCCATCTTCTGGATGCTAATCGTATACATGTGACCCGGTTTACGTTCTTGGGCAGTGACGTATCTCATATATATGCCCGCACATTTGGCGACCGGGTCGACACATGTCTCAAAAGATAACTATAGCTCCACTTCGCTTCCTCTACGAGCCGGCGTCGGTATCGGCCGAGTATTATTTATAGTCGTGTTTGAGTTTGCTTTAGCGCAATAAAAGAATCCATTACGTCGCGGGCAGGCGGCTAAGCCGCCGAAGATTACGAAACAGCCTCTTCCGCGAGAGAAAGGGCTATTCCTCTTTCTCTCCGTTATATATATCACCGTACATTAGCGAGAGAGAGAGAGAGAGAGAGAGAGAGAGAGAGATGCAATAAAAATATCGTAAATTCTCTTTGTTTAAATAGAAAACTGAAACTGAGAGAACAAGTCTCTCCGTTCGAATTGACGAAAGGAAAAGAAAGAAAAAAAACAAAACAAATTCCAAGCTGCAAATATTGCAACTTTTCCCGCCTTTACTCCGTTTTCGTTAAAAATGTGTTGCTTGCGATTTGTTCGATCTTTCAAATAACACGTAAATCCGCGCGAATGAAACTTAAAAAATATATCTTATTGACTTTGCTGCCGAGAGTCGCCGATAGTCGCCGAACACGCCGAGCTAGCGCCTTCGCTCTATCGGCTCTTGTTATTTATGCGGATAATAATAATGTGTAACAGCAGTACGTACCAGCGCCTGCTCGACTGTCGTTTCGCTCTGTCATCCAGCGGTGCCCATCCAGTCGCGAACGAGCGAAATCGCACGAGTGTAATCGTAATTTCTGTATGTGACGCCGGTGCAGCTGTGTGAATGCCGGCGGAGTGCTCTCTGAGGGACATTCGGCACGCTGCCGACCAGTCGCTGTTATTGTCGCCAACGACGATGTAAATTGCCACAATTAGCCGTTACGGCGAAACAACGCGTTCGCGCTCCGAACGTGCAGCCGGAGCAGGAAGTACAACGCGAGTTCTTCGCGTCGATCGTCGAGCGACGACGACGACGACGACGACGACGACGAGGCGACGTCCGTGCGAGAGCAGCTACCGCCGCGATCGAAGCAACCGCAACGTAAAACCTCGTGTTGTCGGCAACAACTCTGCCGACAACTGCCCTGTTCTCTTGTCGAAAGATGGCACACCCGTCGTTCACAGCACGCGACGAACGAGCAGTTGCGGCCGCGTCATCTTCGCATCATCTCCGTGGGTAAGCCTGCAAGTTTAAAACCCGCGTGTTTCGACGAAACGAAAGCTGCTCCGAGTTGCATGAATGATTCTTTTCTCTATTCTCGCCAGAGACTCACAGCCGTGAGAGCCTCGGCCTCAGCTTACTCGATTTGTCAAATAATCGATCGAAAAACGAACAATTAAATAAACGTCAACGACACACAAATTCCCGCAGGTTCTCGAGTAAGGTCTGCTGAAAGCTTTTCGATCAATGTGACGATTTACAGCGATTCTCCGTATTTTGATAAGTCTATAAAAATTGAACATTTATTCGTGTTAATGCAGTTATTCTCAACAGTCTCTTCTGCCTTATCGTTACTTGTCATTACTTATGCATATACCATGTTACTTATACATATATAATATATACGTCGTGCATTTTCTGAAAAGAAAAGGGAGACGCGTACTCGCGAAATCTATCTACTTACATACATAACTATCTACGTTTATCTCCTTCTCTCTCGTAAAAATATATTTAAATAAATTCAAAGGAGTTTGTGTGGATGGAGCAAGGTACAGGCTAATAGTGCGGCGTGAGAGGAGATGCGGGAAAGAGAAAGATGATGATAAATGGCGCTCTACGTCCCTAGGAATTCGGGGATAAAATCAATTAATTTCTGTAGCTTTGCTCATGTAAGGTATTGACTCCCCTTCCTCGCCGATCTTCCGCAGTCGCTGCAGTTCCGCCGTCCGTGTTCTAAAATTCACCGCGTGCGTGCGTGCGTTTTTAGTTATCGATTTTTCGAAAAGCTCTTTGGGATTGCGCGCTAAAGAGCGAATTTGATACCTTGCCAGGGCTTCGTCGTGTTCCCGTTGCTCCCTACGGTTTTTAAGAACCTTATGCCCGATGCAAACGAGTATCAGCAAAATCGGAACCAGACAAGCGAGTATTATGCCGGTGGTAACGCCCGCTTGACGAGAACTGTATTCCTGCTGGCCTGTACAGTGCGAAACAGAAAATGGTTAATAAATATCGTACGTTGAATTATCGCGATACGCTTTCCCCCGACTGTAATGATAAAAAAAAAAAAAAAAAAAAAAAGAGAGAAAAAGAACGAAAACGGCACCGTGCGTGCGCACACGTTATACACGTTCGAACACCGAATGCATAATCGGCTGCAAATCCGTCGTTGGAATCAGATAATTCCGCCAATAATTTGCCGCGATCGGGCACACTTTGGAACGATGTAAACGAGAGGAGGGAAGGGAGAAGATGCAACGGGAAGAATTCACGATAACGCTGGTGGCAAATTTCCATTCCATTCTAATACCGTTACACGCAGTATTATAATGATATGAAAAGCTTTTGCTGTATACCATAAATATTCACTGTACATGCGTGTGGAATAGAAATTTCCCCTCTCTCGTCGTGTTTAATCATGTGTATAAAATTTTATTAAAACAAACACTTGCATATGTACAGTGCGTACGTGAACAAGATATGCGTCGATACAGTCGAATTACGATAATCAATCACTACGAATATATAAACCGGCAATTACAATAATAATCGTCGTTCAATCGTCCCACCGCGCTACGACGTTCGACGTTTAATACGTGTCGTGTCAACCGACGTTAGTTTACCAATAATGGCGACAACACGTGTCTGGTCTAAAAATTACAAATAATACTGCAACTATTTCTATTCCACAGCAAGAACAGTAGTAACTTCTCTGCTATTTACACATGATGATGACAGTTTTGTACGAAAAATGCATTCTACGAAAGAGATTTCCTAATTCCGAATAGCCTGCCCATTAATGCTTATTGCTCTCTCCTGTCTTCGCGTGCGCCACACTTGAGTCGTTTAGATCGTAGATAACGAATCAATGCTCGATCCGTTAATCATCTCTCGATGTTGGCTCGGACGTGCGTCGGATGTAGTACATTATTTAGAAATTGGGATCGAGATATACACTGTCATGGGCACGTACACGCACGCGCTCGCGCGCGCGCAACCACACTAACGTTGATCTAAAATAACGAATCAAGCAATCTCGCTGGTGATTACGTTACGCTTATCGACGGACCGTCCCTCTACACGTCACTCTCTTTAGAGGGGCTGCCTGTTTTTCTCATCGAGTCGGTGCTGTCCGACTCCGTGGGCGAGTTGGGCACCTTCAGGTCCCACTCTTTCTCCTCGAAGTCAATGTCCGGTCTATTGGGTAAGGGTTCGTTTGTGCGGTACACTCTGTCGTAGCTACGGCGCTTCCTAGCGCTATTATTTTCAATTGTGCTAGCGTCGCTAATTGGAGAAATGGCCCTATCGTACGGCTTTAGCGGCATGGTCTGCTTCGACAATGTGGATTCATTGTCGATACCAGACTCGCGATCAGTATAGCGCCATGATTTCGTGGAACTTCCCGTCGACTGTTTCTTTCTTATGTAAAGATAGCCACCGCCGATGCAGCCCACCACGGGTATTAACACGGCGCTAATAATGCCCATTGTCGTCCACGCTGTACGCTGAGCGTACTCGACGTGACCTATATTTATATATATAACACACGCATGAAAAATTGCACAGCACGCAGCAGAGAGCATACATCGATCGAGGACGATTCTATCGGTGAGGGAGCGAGAGACGAGAGAGACAATGATGAAGTGGACGGGAAACGTCATAGAAATAAGAGAAGTAGATGGAAAAGAGGACACGCGGTGCGAGAGAGAGAGAGAGAGAGAGAGAGAGCGAGAGAAGGGGGGAGGAGGAGGGGAGGGAAGTCGTGCTAAATCAATTGACGTTGTTTCTTAAAGATTCTGCAAACTCGACTCGCGAGAGCGGGCTCTCGCTGATTAATTGCTCGAGTATGAGCTTAGACTCGATTTAACTTTTAAAGCAAGCTGGATGGAATTGGTCCGCCTCGAGTTAACTGGTGTGCTAACTGCGCGCACCGTTTAATACTTTCTCCATGTACCTTATTCCATCTCATAGCACTTCGTTTAGGACCGTTAAGCAGGTACGCTGGGACTGTAGTGGTGGGAAATTAATGTAAATTGAATAATTGCGTAGAAATACTCACGAAGGCACTCTGTGTATCCGTACTCTGGCACGTTCCATCGACCTTCAGGCGTGCACACCCGACGTTGATCGCCGATGAGTATGAATTCCTGATTGCACTCGAAACTTATTTTCGTCCCCGGGATAAACAGGAAATTGCTCTTACGCCCGAAACGTGGCGTTTCCAGCACACCGCAGGATATTACTTGAAAAATCGAATGTTACACCGATGTAGCATTAAACGTCGCCACATTGAACCAGCTTTTCGATTCGTTTCAGCGGTTAATGCTGCGAATCGTACCGGGAGACCGGAGTGAAAAATCTCACGGATAAGTTGCCGCGTATGCTTTCGTATCTGTACTTGTAAGTTGTCACATAGTATCTGTATCTGTATTTCAATCAATGTGTAAATATATATATATATATATATATATATATATGAATATATCAACGCCGCTCCGGTCTCCCCTACAAGTTTGAGAAACACAGCCGCCTCTGCTTACTTTCTTTGTTGTTTGTCGCTCTGATCTTGGTGTAAGTATCGTAATAATTCCTGGTGAAGTGCGCTAAATCCCGATTCAAAGTCACCGCGTAGTCGTACTGGCACTGGTATGAATCACCGCACAACTCCTTCGCGCGCTCTACGTCGGTCGTTCTGTTTATCGGAAGTATCTCCTTCGGATACTTTCGATATTCCGGCACGAAACTGCGATTAGAATAAAAGCTCGCCGATCTACCAAAGTCCCTGGTGAATAAAGCATTTCCTATGAGATCGTTCGCGTTATCCTCCAGCATCCAGTGTATCGCAAAGTCTCTATGAATGGTTTCCGAATGATTCACGCTGTTCACCGGCACTTGATATCCGTACGGGCTCGTCAAGTCGTCCGTAACATCGAAGTTCCAATTGCCGAATAGGCCTCTGGTTTTGTTCTGTGCATAACGGGGAAAAGGAGAGTCTCTTCTAATTTTTCAGCGTATGTAACGCTCGATGGTATTCGATAATCATGAGTATATATAAATATACAGTAATAATAGAATAAAGAAAATAGATATATATAAATGTATATATAAATATACAGTGATAATAGAATAAAAAATGGCATTTACGCCACTTACCACATACGTCCAAGGTAGATACACTCGCAAGGACATGAAACCTTCATTCTCCACGATCTCCATACCGGCGCCGGTGTCGAACATGATAACGATCTCGCTCTGATTCAAAATGTACGTCGGAGTATAAACAACGACGCCGGAGAAGTGTTGGAACTTCAAAGCTGGTCTGTCAAAGTACACCCTCTTACCACCCGCGAGAACATCAAGACGATATCTCCACTGCGAGTCTTTCGGTCTCAAGCGAACTTCGATGACTTCGGAGTTATTGCCCCTCACTGCATAGATGAGACAACACGTAATTATTTATCGCATAGATTACAATGCGTACACATAATATCGATGTTGCCAGTGAGAAGGGAATTTTTTTTCAAATGATGAAACAAGATATTAAGTATCTTTGCGTATCACGGAGAGCTCGTATGGAATTGTGGAACGACTCACCAGCCACCGCTGTAAGATGCGTCGCCATCACTTGACCGTAAGCGTTGTTGGACATTTGCTCGAATCTACCCTGCACGTCGAGTTTGTCCCTGATGTGATTCACTCGCAGCAGAACGAACTCGCCTTTGCCGTTGAACGTGTACTCCAGGCCGTCGAATGTGACGATATGGGGATCGCCGAACACCGTCGCCACCCCAGGTGATTGATAGGCGATGCAATCCTGCGACGGTCTTCTCTCGAATCGCAAAGTCTCGCAACCGACAGCTTGCTCCTCCTGCCAGAGGCAGCACGTGTACATGGGCGACACGTCGTGATACCAATGCGAGAGGGTCGGTACTTTGTTGGCCTCGTTCCACGGTATGTAGCCCAGATTGTGAGACCGATGCGGTCGCGAGCCCCATTGTTGGTCGTAAGTCAGCATCAGATAACCCAACTTGTCGTAGCAACATTGTTGCTCCGAGCCGTCCATGCTGAAAAGCGCGAGCGTACAGTTGTTTTTCTTCGGGATCCCATTTTAGCCGTGTATATGTGCGAACAACCGACCAGCGGTCGGTGAATTATGAGTTGAAGAAACAAACGCGAAGAGGAAGAGGAAGAGGAGAAGGATGAATCGTACAAACGGGTTTGGTAGGTTTTATCGAACACGAGATACGGCAGATTGATAAGTTAGTCTCCGCGCGAAATAAGAGTCAAACCACTCACTTGGGCGCACCCGTCTTTACACAGTGTTTCGCGTGCTTGTTGTAATAACATTCTATATTCGAGTCCTTGTCGCATTCGAGATCCGGGAGGAAGCGACCTTTATCGCTCAAAGCGTGCTCCAGAGTGCAAGGGCAGATCGCGATCTCGGCGGCGAAGTTTTTCAGATATCTATCGTTCATAATCCACTTGTCGCAGAGCCTCTGAGACCACTTCGGGCCGTGCGTTCGTTCCCACTGCGGGCCGAAATACCAAGCGAGTGGGATCGGTCTGCTCCATAAGCTCCTGCAAAGAAAAAAAGAAAAAAAGAAAAATAGAAATCGTCCAAAGCTCGTTTTTCTTTTTTTTTTACGAATCATGGGAGAAAAAGAGGGAAGACGCGCCGAGAACGATTTTCTTTCACAAAACCTACGGCGATATCGAGAGTCCGGAGTATAAATGCGGCTCGGTCAAGTTGATTTGCAGAAAGCCGAATATCATATCCAAGTGACGTGGGTTGTACTGCTCTCGATATCTGGCTGGCTTGATGATGTAGCTGCCGGTATTGGTGACCGATTTCTGAAATATACGCAGCACCATTTATTCTGTCGTTTTATTTCGTCTTCAAATAAATGTCATTTGAATTTAAACCAAACGTAAATATTTCTGTTCTGTGTATTTTCTTCTTTTTTTTTTTTTTACTTCCTTTAATATTCATATATCTTTTCTTGTATTTTTTCCTCTCCCCTGTAACGTTCTTCAGGGGACTTTACTCTAAAGCGTCAATAAACACACTTATCTATCTGTCTATTTATCTTTGTATCGAGTACGCCAGATAGCCATGTACGAACCTCCAGCAATGTAATAAACTCGAATTCCGGTGTCGTTTTCACCTCCCGGTATCCCCACAGCGAAATCTGGATGCCCGCACCAAAATTACTCGTCAAGTTATACGCGTCCCATGTTATTTTTATTTCCGCTGGATCCTTCTGGTGAACGGCATCTTTATCGCTGAAGAAGATCTTCTCCGCCGCTGTGGCTGGTGTTTCTGAGAGAGAGGAAAACGTGAGGGGTTTTGTGCGATTTCACAGCATACAGGCAGAAATATCGCCCGCGAACGCAATTTTTCGCGTTAGTTTCAAGATGCACTGTTACCCTCATCAACAATAAACAACCAAAGTCACGACGCAAAAATATCCAGACATAATGTGCATGCGATTGAAAATTTCGAATGCCTCCATATCTACAGTGTAAGCGCCGAGAGGAAAGGAGGAGACATCAAAGACGGGCGCTGACTAATTTTGATCAAATACGTGATATCTTTCATTACCGACGAAGAATGTTCCTCTCCACTTGTTGTTATCGTTATTATTGCCGATGGTGACGAGGAAGCGTATGTAGCCCTCGTACTTTAGATGCGGCTGCACGCAAATCGCGCGATTTCTATCCACCACTGTCCCCATCACCATGACGTCTTCAAAGTAGCACATAATCTTCTGGCTCTCGTTGAAGCACGGCCCGGTGATATTGACGATAGTGCCACCCAACATGTTTCCGCTCTCCGGGGCGAAGACCAACGGTATATGAGCTCCAGCTGCGTGCATAGGTCGCGAAACATTGAGAAAATTTACGCGCTACCCATCCAACGTTCTATTGGAAATACGTCTCGTGTTCTTACAGTTGTCCTTGTTGCAGTTGCCCAATATTATATCCTCATCTATCCTGAAAATGTGTCGACCTGGGAATTTGTTCGCCCATCCCCTATTCGGCAAGTCCCGAACCGTGGTCATTTGCGAGTAAGGCTTGTACTCGTAGCTTCGTGTGCCGTTTCCAGCGTTAAAACCCACCTAGGACGAGGGAATTTTCAAGAGATTCAGTTTGTCGCGCCGGATGAATCGCTCGCTCGCGACAGCATTTTCCATCGTTCGCGCCAGGGATATTGAATTGAACCTCAAGTGCAAACAATTGGCACACGATTGCATCGAGTGGAATTAACCGAAAGCACAATGGAGAAACCTTCCGATCAGGAATCGCGCGTTTGACGTTTAACGTTTCGCAATATACTCACGTATGCGGGCACTCCGTTCTCTCCTTGAGTCGTATCACCGCCCGCTTCCGTGTGACTCAGCCATTGTAAATTCAGGTAGTTGAATATAGCGTAGGTGTAGACCTCATCGGTAGCCAATACCATTTGGAATGTGTTGGTCTTATAAAGAGCCGTGCCGATGCCACCGGTGAAGGACATGTTCTTCCAAGTGACTATAATCGCATGCTTGGGCACGAAGGAATCGGAACCAACAACACCTTCGCGAATGTCCCACATAAGGCGCTCTCGCATCTCCACGCCGAACTGATCGGTTCTGCCTTGCAGATCTCTCTCGAGCCTGTGCGAAGCGATGATATGCCGTCAATTATCCCTTGCGTTAACCTCGCGTTAAATTTCCACGAATTTCCTACATTACCGAAAATAAACCCCCGGTCTTCTCTGATCACTGTCCGTCTCCCTCAATTTGCCTATGCGACACTTGCTGAAGAAAATGCCGATGAAACTCGGATCGTTCTTCATGGGCCAATCTTTCACCGGGAAAACGAGGGGATACGTAAAGTGCGCCGGTGGGTCACTAAATTCCAGATAGCCGTTGACGGTTAACTAAAACGTTACGTGGCTTATTAAATGGTCGCCGACGAGCGAATTCCGACCTGCCGTAGAACTTTGCGCTAACATTCGGACATTCAGACACTCGGATATCCAAATCGTGTATTCAAATCTCGACTCGATGTATCCGAGTGCCTGGGTAGTCAGTGACAAGAAATTAAAGATATTTCTGCCTCTGTCACGGAGAATTGCAGAGAAATGTTGAGAAGGAATAAGTAATGATATATACAAGTATACGGCCGTACTCTTGTATAATTAAATCGAAATCCGAAGAAAGGCAATTGAAAGTTCAGGTTCTTGTGGATCTGCAGCGTCGTTGCCTGTAAAGCCGTTTGGTAATCTCCATTATCATCATTGCCACCCTTATCAAAGTACCAATACATGAATTCCGACCGAATCTTTTTCAACCGAGCTTCTGTTATTTCATATAAAATCGGGCTGTCATCTGGACGAGGCGCGTATCTGTCAGCCTCGGGTAAGTCCGAATCTGCAAATATGTCGAAATACCGATGTGAAAGAAATGTTCGAAATTTAATTCCACACACAAGCGTGTGATATCACTAAGATGACTCGTGATATCTAATGATTCATCCCCGATTCGTGTTAAAGTGAGTAACTGATAAACAAGTGATAAGCTCCGATACGAATCGGATTTCTAAAGGTAATATCAAACATGCGAGCATGCGCTAAACGGGCTATTTTGGATCGCGGTCTCCCGAAAAACAATTATTCCGCAGGAAAATACGTGTGTGTCTTGAAACAAGAAATTACAAAAGGAAACAGGGTGATATTTGAAGACTGCAAGAGCGCTCGACTAGTTGCACGTTGCGAAAACATGGTCACGCCCACTGATAATGGATTACTTACCGTATCTTACGTATTTTTCATGCTTCGCGTCTGCCATTTTACCGGAGATGGTCTGAACAACGGACGAGACATCCACCTCCGAACTGTCTTTCGACGCTAGGACACTTTTAGTCTCCGGTACAACTTGGGCCGGATCTGCCCCGTCGTCTTTTTTCTCGACGGAAGTTGAATCTGTCTTCCCGGCCGCGAGCCCTTCGAGCTCCAGGGGCATTTTCGCAGCCGTCTTCTCGTGCAGCAGCGACGGCACATCGCTCTCCTCATTGTAATTCTCTATCGACTCGGCCGAATTCAATCCGAACGCACTTTTGAACGTCCCGTTTTCGTTGAACGCTATAACGTTGCTCGGCGTTAATGAGAGGAGACACACGAGAAGAACCACCCATTTTGATGGCGCGTAATTGCAATTAAGCACTCGCCGCGACGCTCGAGGCCGCATTTTCGTGAGAGCGTTCCCGTTAAGATCTAATTACTGTAGTACGCACGACAAAACTGAACTGAGATTCGAGGTAACAAGTTGCGATAACGGCGACACTGATATCATCGGTTCTAGTATGATAAGGTATATTATCTCCGCTACAGGTTGCAACGCTACGGGAAAGTAAGGATCCCGCGTGTCCCACTTATGAAAAGGGCGTATCCGCTCCCACGTTTAGTATATGTAACCAAAATTTTTGGTTTTTTTCATCGCAAACTAGTTGAGCTCGTTTGCGATGTACTTGGAAATGAAAAATATATACACATACACGCACACGTATGTGTGTGTGTATATATTTAAAGTGTTCCTTCTACAGAAGGAGTTACAACTCGAGATCTAGAATATCTCATTCACATCGACGTTTAAAAAAAAATAATATATGTTCATTAGCGCACAATGGTACAGCACATAAATAAATAAACTCAATCACAAAAGATATTGATCTTCAAGTCAGATATATTGATCTTCAAATCATCTTGAACAAGAAAAATCACCTTTATATACTGGAATAAAGAATTGTGTAAAAAATTTACATATTCCAGTATAAATATACTTCTCTTATATCAAAAGATATTAAAAATGGTTTTTGTTAAATTCTAATATTTTAGTTCCTATTAAATTCTAATACTAATGATTTCTATTAAATCCTAATAATTTATCTTCGAATACGATAAATGAATGATCTTTTCACATTTTTAATGAATACTAGAGTGATGACAATACACATATAGCAAATGTTTTCCTTCATATCTCCTGGCATTGTAGAGATATTTCGATAAACTTTGTTTATTAAACGTTTTCATAGAAAAAATATTATTCCGAATATTTTTATAAGCCATCTCACTGCATTAATGAAAAATGTCCCATTAAAAGGAATGACTCTTAAATTTCATAAAATGACTTAAAAAGAAATTATCGTTTATTAGAGCATCTGCCTTTTTAAAACAAACAACTTTCTCTCCTTTGTTCTTTTCATATCATCAATCAGAGAAAGAGGTACTCTAGGCGAGAGATTGAGGTGGAAGAAAAACACTTGTGTGTGTGTGTGTGTGTATGTATAATGAATATGTTTTTAGAGGCAAATTATTTATTCAGCTTCTGCATTCTGCCCATCATGCACAAAGCAAATATTTTTAGTGCGAATAGTTCGAAAATGTACCAAAATCTTTCTCTCTTTATTTCTTGCGGATGAGTTTTACAATAAAACGAGTGCAGTATATGTAGCAAATATCATAAGAAGGGTACCTCGTCTTTAAAATCATATCGCTTATGATACTTTTTACACGAATGTGTCATTCACATCGGAATATTTTTTTACATGTATAATAAAAAGGTATTATCCCTATATATCAACGACTCAACTTAAAAGGAAAAAAAAAAAAAAAAGGAAAAGAAAAAATATTGCATCCTTTTCTCTCAATTTTCTAAAATGTATACGAATTTCTCGTGCTTAAAATGTATCGCGCTATAAATGTATCATAGAATAAATATACATATCAACAGTGGTAGGTACGTCTACATAATGTAGCATGTACAATCGAATGCATTAATTTAGTTTGATGCGCTTAAACTTAATCGTTAATTTCTTTTTCCATATTTAGGAAATATCCAAATTACGTAGTTAACAGTAGTAGTACATAGTTATGAGTTGATTACTTTATTTTATAAATGGACGAACGTAGGGAAACGGCAAATCCCCTTGTGAATGCGGACGAATTAGAATAATTAATGCACCCAATTGCACATTACGTTTGGTTTGGTTACACGGTATTAAGCAGTTTCTGTATGCGTCGTTCGAGAGATATATGACATATACACATACACGTATATGTATATATAAGTATACATATTTAGATACGTATACTGTAAAGATCTTAAAAGTAAGGGAAATGGGATTTTTGTACTGCGACGGTATCTTGTATATCAATATTGTCCAAATTTTACAAACAAAAATTATATTACATTTGTTTTTAATGTTGTTCGACGTTGCAAATATATTTTCGATTGGTGGTACGTATCACAGAAGAAATCTACAAAAGGAGTGGATCCAAAAGAATAAAACAGAAAAAATGTGGACGTAGATCTGAAAGAGATATGCCTAAATTGTGTCTCATGTGAGACCTACGGCAATAATGTCGATATAATATTGCAAATATAAACCATATACTTGATCACTAAGTGAAAGGATTTTTTTATAACATTTTATTGTAATGAAATAATCTTTCTCTCTCTCTCTCTCTCTTTTTTCTCCCACCCCCTCTCTCTCTTTCTTTCTCTCTCCCTCTCTCTCTCTCTCTCTCTCTTTTACGATTTTCTTTAACATTACGCAGTTGAGGTATTATCTCCATTTGCGTCCAAATATCCACCAGCAGACCCATTTACGACGAATGACGTTCCCAAACCATATAAGTGCCCGCAATATTTCGCATCATCAATATTATCCTCGAAAAACATCTAAAATAGAAATCAGAAATGAATTATTATTGCAACCTCATGATTAATCATTCAATAAACTTCATTTAGGTAAATAGAATTACACTCTTACTTCTCTCATTTTAAAAAAGACCATGCCAGTGAGAAGAGCATCGGAACCCGCCTGATGTTGAGGACCTACTCTTTGAATTTCTAGTTGTTCTGCCACTTCTTGTAAGCCACCTTTTAAGTTTTTGCACGACTTCATTAAGTACTGAAAGAGTGAAATATATAATCGTGTACATGTACATATATATATATATATATATATATATATACACTTTTCATTTTTTATTTCATCTTTACACAAAATATTCATACATTTTTTGCACGATTCTATACTCACTTTTACATCATATATCTTCGGAAAGTATATCCTAAGAAGTTCAAAAAATTCGCTTTCTTCCTGTGGCAACTTCTGATCCGTGAGAAGTTTTAATAAGTAACCAAAATCGTAACCAGAATGAAAGGATAGCCATTTAACGTCATCAACAAGAACAATCCCTGATGTCATCAAAAGTTCAGCAAATTCTAAAGGGTCGATACCTTCCTCCTCATGTTTCTTGAACTGTATGCCGCTATTTTGTAGCATATCTATACTATCCTGTGCATACATGTCTTCACTAGCAACAACAAAATGTATATATCTTATTACCAAAATTACTAAAAAAAAGTTAAAAAAATGTTGAATATGCATATCATTAGAAACTTGTCCTCTTGTAATGATTATATTGCGTTGCATCCCCAATATATACATTAGATATTAATAATAATAATAATTATATATATATATATATAAACTTACTGTAAATTAAATTTAAAATTAAACTGCCAGGTTGTATAGCCACCCGGTGTATTCCCCGAATCGTCAAGGAATGTAAGACCAAGCTGAATTATCCGTAAAAGATCTACATTGCAACGTAAGAGCTGATATTGGTAATCGGCGTTAGTCCTAAATTCACCTATTGCAAATAACAAACAAAATAATCATAATATGCATACGCTTTCTAGGAACAACATCCTCTGAAACTTTTCCAAATGTCATGCCTCCTTACCAATAGGCCTAGCTACAACACCAGGAAATTCTGTGTCCATCGCAACATACTGATATTGTTGCACGACTTGACGGATTGTGCGAAATTCCTCTTCCAAATTGTGCCCCCATACATCTCTGATTCCACATTCTTCATTACTGGGCAGAGTAGCCCCACCTTTCTGCTGCCCTATTGGGTTGGTCCCGCCTAAGAATGTTTCACAGTCAAGTAATATGCACTATTTACACGGAAAATATGAAAAATAATTTCAATTAATTTTCCACGTGTTCATTTTGACCATCTTATGAAATACTGAGTTGTTATTTGACATTGTATAAATAATTTGACAAGATTTTTATAAAATTATCGTCATAGCTCGTAAATACCAGCAATTTTTTACAGGTCATCTTTTAATAGAAAAGAAATGAAACTTTAGAGATTTGCAAGTGCAGTTCAATACTCTTTATGTAAGTGATAAAAAGTAGCTTCTTTGTACATAAAATTTATATACATTTTAATCAATTGATTTTGCATCTTTTCTCCAAAATATTAAACACAATGGATTTTCAAACTGTATCTTCTAATAGTGTATTTTTTGGAAATTTTGAAAGCACAATTGTATATCATCTTGACAATAATTCCTTTGTTATATATATACTTGAAATACAAATATGTTCTATATATATTTTGCTTCCCCATTTTCTTTAATGTCTCTCCTTTATTCACAAACTGGATACATATTCGCACCTTTGATGTTCCCGATATTGCTTGATGATTGAATATATTCTCATATATGACCTGTATGACAATGCATCATTTCTATTGCACAACAGCTTTTATTTACATAGATTATTGTTACATAAATTATTATAGATGTTTTATGTCACAAGCAGAGATATAATACATATTATATATATCTTACGCACCAGTAGCTGAAGGCATTTGGCTAGATATTCCTGTGTTCACCGGGACTACTCTTATCCTCAAATTACCTCTGTCACGGTCTTTCCTTCTTCATATCACTGTAAATTTGCAAATAATTAATAAAACAACAGCTGAAACAACATTTATAAATTTCATTGATTCAAAACAACTCAGAAGTTATATTTTATATATATTATAATTTATATATATATATGATATGAGAATTATATCATATAATAAAAACAGCAGTCATCGAAGTAAATCTTCTAAATGAATGTTTCAACTAAGCAGGTTATGAGTCATGAGTAAACAACAAGAATTCATCACAGTAAGCATCACATAAAATCAAAATGCATCGTAGAACGGGCTCGCAGATAAATGCGACAACAAAATCGCTACAGAGAAGAGAAATGTATGATAGAATTTATCACTCATTATCATTTATCAAAACAGAGAAAGTGAGGTTAAATGACTGGGATATGCAGAGTTGCCCAAGTTTCAAGTTGACCAAAAAATAACATAAGATGAATTATACTTCTGAATATAATGCCCTTGGCTCGTAAAGTCTAACCGTGTAATGAATTAATCAAGGTTGCAACGATCACTCGTCCCCAAACCAACAATCCACTGACACAATGTGAACAATTCAAATGACTTCCTTAGCTAGCGGAGTTAACCACATACGCACGGCACGAAGAAGCGTGGCGCTTCAATCGCTGGTACCGCCGACGAGGTAATATAAAGATTGTCAACCTTGGGTTAATCTTCGTATTGATCAAAGGGGCCCCAAGAGACCCGGAGGTAATTGAAGAACAATGATAATACCGACTACTATACCTACACTCGAGATAATACAGCTAGCAACTATCGCCGGTGCGTGGCGAGAGGAAAGACACGCGTCACTATTCGTGCACCGTTTTGCCTCGTCACACCTCCCGCAAGCCAACAATAGTTGCTGGATCGATTAGGTCGCGCTGTGGCCCGAGCGGTTGCGAAGCTTTTCCATCCATTCTCAGCGCGCGCTTACTCGTCAGATTTCTGTAATTAATAAACTGTTACGAATATCGAAAAACGTTATAGAAATGACGACTACGTCGGCCAGTGGCCACGTCACAATTTTCTAGAATATTCTGAAATCTACTAGAACATTCTGGAAACTTTTAGAATATTTTGCAAATTTCTAATGAATCCTAGAATTTCCTAAGAAGTTCTAGAAGCTTTTAGAATATTCTGAAATCTTCTAGAATGTTCTAGAATCACCTAGCCCGGTCGACTTGGACCAGAGGCCTCACCAGCCTCGCCACCAGCCGCGGGGCCGCGTCTCCGTATTTCATAATATTCTAGAAGATTATGACGTGGTCGTTGGCCACGTAGTCGACTACGACGGAGTTGGTAGACGGCAAAGCGACGACTATGGAGACGCGGCCGCGCGGCTGGTGAGGCCTCTGGGACAAGTCGACCGGGATACGCGACAAAGTAACGGCTAAGTTCGTGCCGTGCGTATGTGGTTAACTCCGCTAGCTAAGGAAGTCATTTGAATTGTTCACATTGTGTCAGTGGATTGTTGGTTTGGGGACGAGTGATCGTTGCAACCTTGATTAATTCATTACACGGTTAGACTTTACGAGCCAAGGGCATTATATTCAGAAGTATAATTCATCTTATGTTATTTTTTGGTCAACTTGAAACTTGGGCAACTCTGCATATCCCAGTCATTTAACCTCACTTTCTCTGTTTTGATAAATGATAATGAGTGATAAATTCTATCATACATTTCTCTTCTCTGTAGCGATTTTGTTGTCGCATTTATCTGCGAGCCCGTTCTACGATGCATTTTGATTTTATGTGATGCTTACTGTGATGAATTCTTGTTGTTTACTCATGACTCATAACCTGCTTAGTTGAAACATTCATGTAGAAGATTTACTTCGATGACTGCTGTTTTTATTATATGATATAATTCTACTGCGGCTCGCGGCTGGTGGCGGGGCTATTAAGGCCGCTGAGCCAGGTCGACGGGGCTAAGCGACGGCTACGAAGAAGTGGCCCCGTGGCTGGTAGCGGGGCTGGTGAGGCCGCGAAGCCGTCACGAGGCGATTGAACTGGTTAACGATGCTGGGGATGACGGAGATTCTAAAACGTTCTAGAAGATTCCAGAATTTCCTAGAATTTCCTAGAAAATACCAGGATATTCTAGAAGATTGTGACGTGGTCACCGGCCGCTTGATCGTCGTTTCTAGAACGTTCTAGAAGATTCTAGAATATTTCAGAAGATTGTGACGTGTCACCGGCCACGCGGTCGCCGTTTCTAGAACGTTCTAGAATATTCCAGAATCTTCTAGAAGATTGTGACGTGATCACCGGCCACGTGATCGCCGTTTCACGTGTTGTTGTATCACGTGACGTCTGATTATATAGCCGTTAGCCACGTGGTCTATAGAATTTTCTAGAACATTCTAGAATTTTCTAAATCGTTTTAGAATCTTTCAGAATATTATAGAGCCTTCTAAAAAAATTCTCGAAACTTTCCATACAGCACCGCAAGATTGCAGCGTCATTACAGAAATATTACATTGTGACATTGCAATATTGCAGCAATGTTGCGTAATGTCGCTGCAACGTTGCAGAAAGATTGCAGCAACGTTGAAATGTTCGCCCTCAGAGAGATTGCAGTGCCACATTACAGCAATGTTGCTGTGCAATATATTTGCAATAATGCAGCATCATTGCACATAAGCACTGAGCAAACACTACCCAGTGAGAAATGATTCGTGGATCGATGTCGAAACGATGTCGAATCGATATCGAATCTTCAAATTGACGTCGATCAACGAATCATTTCTCACTGGGTAAGTAACAATAACATGACATTAATGTCATAAATTTTTACTCAACAATGTAATAGTTATACAGGGTTTGTCAAAAGTACGGAAACCCTTAAATAATTTTTGTAAAAATGAAAATATCAAAAAACGGTAAAATACGTATTTTGATTTTTCAAAAAAGCTACCCTATGACATGGATACCGATCATTCCCCACCTTCTGGTACGCGGAGATAAAAGGGGGGTTGAAAATTTTAAATTGGACTAAGGGTCGGGGAGGGGCTCATTTGAAAGGTCTTTTCATAAAAAACACACCCTTAAAATTTTAAGTCGTTACGACCCTCCATTAAAAATGGCGGCCGTTCAAATTTCGAAATTTCATGCACTTAGTGTTATCCAGGATTAACCGGCTACTTAAAATCAGTTGTTCTCACTGCTACTTACAATCAGTTGTTCTCACTGCTACTTAAAATCAGTTGTTCTCACGGCTACTTAAAATCAGTTGTTCTCACGGCTACTTAAAATCAGTTCTCACAGATCTTAGGCAGATTAAAAATTAAACGTTTTAAAAATGGCTGGCGAATTGTCGGAACGTGAAAGAATCACTATCCTCATGATGCATGGACGGGGTGATAACGAGCGATGGTACGCTGCTGTCGCTCAATTATTTAATGAGACGTATCCGAATCGTCGAATTAATAAGTCCACTGTCTTAAAAACAATGGAACTTTTATATATGCCTTAGTCTAATCTACCTTCACACTGCGGGTTGGCAGCTAATTGCCGGACCCCCTGCATTTATACGATATATATCGTATATAATCTTCATGATATTAATCATACACAATCTCAATTCTTCATTTCTTTTGCGCATGTTAACGTGTTAATTCATGTTACAAATGCATAACAATGTGAGAGATCGTGCTTGTCAAGTACGCTGTTATGGTTGTAGCACAGACATAAACCAGACATAAGCCTGAAAGTGGATATAGCACGGATTTCCACCACATGCAGACCACATGCACCACCGAGACCTGAAAGTGGATGTAACATCGTAGTTCCCCTCTCAAAATGGATGCAGATGGCGTCCTATCCCAGTGCGGAAAGTCGGTGTCGTAGAAAATGCTACGTTAGCCGCTCTCAGGTTTCTCTCTGCCTGAAGGTAATTCATGAGTTATGACAGTACCAACTGCTTCAGCAATACCACCGATGTGGCACTGTCAGCCCTATATAAATTTTCGTAATGGCAAAGGGACACCGAGGGGTCCGCCGGTAATTGAAGAATGATGACAATATCGACTGTTTTAGATACGCTGAAGATAACATATGAGAGTTGGTGAAACATCATTTTCCCTGTCCATTCGTTTATCCGTGCAATTCGTTCGTTGATCGATTCAATCATATATTTTTGAAGAAATATTCTTCTCTGTATATTTTTCTATATATTTTATTATTTTTATGTTTTTAATCTTATTGTTTTTGACAAATATGAGATATGTTATGGAATAATTTCTTTTTACATAATTATTTTTGTACAGAATAATAACTTATAAAGGTGGGGCGTGTGAACTTTTAGCGTTCTTCCCTTTGCTTCTTTTTTTTAACTAAATGCATTTTTTCGAGTGTTAAAATTCCCAATGGTGTTTATACAGATTTATCGCTCGATTACATTTACAAAAAATATTTCAATGGCCTGTTGAAATATTTAATTGGGCTCTCGCTGGCATGCCGTTAATTAATATGCATCGCGTGAAGCTCTGATTTATACAAAATGTATTAAGTTCTTTCACGTAGACTTAAACTTGGTCAGAATGTGACATTATAACGCAGGAACGATGCATTTAATTATCTAAGTTTACAAGCCAATTATTTTTGGGCATTTTCTTCATGAGAGAAATATCTTGTATCATTCCTCATACATTACACCAGTATTCATCTTAAGACAAAATTACAAGTGAATATAGTTAACCGCTATATAACTTAGAGCAACTTCCTCTTCGCAGAATCTACCTCGTTCATGCAGGAAGTTGCTCTAAGTTATATAGATCAGAGTGTGATCGTCTATACCTCCATAAATTGGAAAGGTCATCAAGCATACTGATGGATGGTAATATCCTTCTATTGGAAGAAATAACAACGATCATTGTTAACGTAATTTCGCGGTCTGCCCGAAATGGGAGCGTTTCATCGATATCGCTAGTAAAACAAAATTAATGATCGTAGCATTTATATTTATAAATCGCAATGTTCATCGCATTGGTATATTCGTCATATTGTACAACTTGAAGCTGTTATAATTTAGTAACGTCGTTCTACCTTCGATTGGTATACGCATAAACGGTGGGATAGCTAAGACATGCTCGGTAGACTAATAACGGATAGGTTATCCGTATTTGTTTTGCATAACTTACAGCGAGCCAGCGTAATTTTGTCTGATCTTGTCTCGTCTCAATAAATATGTCGTTCAACGTAGTGCATTTTAATGTTACGAAATGTGACACGATGCTTAAGCTCTCTTGAACAAACATTCGTTAAATACTGATGTATATTTAGATATATTATCAGAGAGAAGGCAAAAATCGATAAACTGGGATCATCAGTTCAAGTTTCTTTATCCGTATATATGTATTTATATCTATTTAATTTGTTCACGGATGATGATCGTAACCATGGTCTCTTTGCATTCTGCTCTATTCTTGAAATTGTCGATGGAATTTTCTCTAGTCTCAATAAATAACTCATTCAATGCGATATGTTTCAACGAGAGAAGGGCGTGTTGCGGTATTTAAACTTGCTTAAGCAAACGTTTGTAAATGCTGTTGTATGTTCGCTATCGCAGAGAGAACAAAACGTGATAAATTATACATACCGGTTTTCTTATTTGCATGTATATTTATGATACGCCCAATTCAGTTCATTATAGTAAAAATAAGCTCGTGTGCATTTCTCGCAGAGAGTTCTCATACATTCATGTACACGCGCACACATACGTATACATAGTCACTTGTTTATTATTTCTGATGTATACCGACATATATGTCCTCATATTTTTTCTTCTCTCGAAATTGTCCCTTCACGATCGAAATAAATGATGCGCTCTGTTCTACATCTAGCCTGTATCCATAATAATATCATCGTCGCAAAATGGTACATTAAGATGGAAAATACGAAATCACATCAATAATGTATACAACGAAACTTTTATGTCCTCAATGGAACTTAACAATTGGATCTAACAATGTTCACTTTTTAACTTTTTATATTCTACTTGTATAGTTTTGACTCATCTAGAGATAGTTGAACATAACATTTCGAGTTCTTCGGAGATTCGCTGGAATTGTATAAAAATATATGTCACAGCAGTCGACATACATAACGAGATTTTTTATACAATGTTACAAGAAATAAATTTTTTTGCGGCTAATGAAGTTATGTATCAACGTTATGTATCAACATGCCGATGGTAAAAAGACACAAGCACGATTTAAGATTTATCGCTGCATATCTTGATACGTTAAATGTCTCTGTAGATATTTTTATTTATTATTTTAAGATATTCGATAAGGATTTCGATAACATGTGCAGAAAACGCTACGATATTGTTACGATGTTGCGGTTTCAGTCGATTTACATTATATCTATTTATACGGACTGCGTATATATACTAGGTGCGCAACTAAGTCTCCGGGTTTCACACATGGATGGCGCTAACGACACATGTAGTCGACATACATGTCTGAAGTTGTGTTTTTTTTATAGCTTGGACATCTGTCAACAATAACCAGTCGTAATACCAATACATATCGCAACGCCAAAATATTTTTTCTAACAACGAAGAGGTCGAGTTTTGTGCCAAATAAATAGCATTTGCGGGAAGCTTTGTTTTTCTGCTTTAACTTGAAAAAAAGTGCAGCTGAAGCTCATCGTTTGCTCGAGGAGGCCTACGGCGAACATGCACCATCGAAAACTACCTGTGAAGATTGGTTTAAACGCTTCAGAAGTAGCGATTTCGACACTGAGGACAAGGAGCGCTCCGGAAGATCAAAAACAATTGAGGACGCCGATCTGCAAGCGTTATTGGATGAAGATGATACGCAAATACAAGATCAACTTGCACTGAGGCATTAAACATGACTCACCAAGGTATTTCCAAACGTTTACATGCCATGGGAAAAATTCAAAAGGAAGGAAAATGCGTGCCGCATAAGTTGACTGAGAGACAGATGGAAAATCGAAGAGCCACTTCCGAAATTTTGCTTTTGCGGCATGAAAGAAAGAGTTTCCTGCATCGAATTGTTACTGGCGATGAGAAGTGGATATATTTCGAGAATCCCAAACGCAAAAATCGTGGCTTTCGCCTGGCGAAGCATCAACATCGACGGCACGGCCAAATCGCTTCGGGAAGAAGACAATGCTCTGCGTTTGGTGCGACCACCTGGAGACCAGAAAGGAATCGTGTACTATGAGCTGCTGAAATCGGGCGAAACTGTCAATGGGCATCGCTACCGACAACAACTGGTCAATTTGAACCATGCATTGCTCGAAAAACGGCTAGAATGGAACACGAGACACGAACGATTGATATTGCAGCACGACAACGCTCCGTGCCATCGCACTTCCATCGTCCAGGACACCATCAAAACGCTGAAATGGGATCTGCTACCGCACCCGCCGTATTCGCCAGACCTGGCCTCTTCCGATTATCACTTGTTCCGGTCGATGGCTTGGCTGGACAACACTTGGTCAATTTCGAAGAAGTGCAAAATTGGTTGGATGAATGGTTTCGGTTCAAAGACGCGTCGTTTTATCGTCGCGGTATTCATGTATTGCCAGAGAGATGGCAAAAATGTGCAGCTAGCGAGGGACGATACTTTGAAAAAATCATTTTTTGTATTTCTCTTTAAATTTTCCATTTTTCATTCATCAAAAAAACCCGGAAACTTAGTTGCGCACCTAGTATATGGAATAAAAAAGGTTATCTATCTCTACACGAAGTTCAGATTACTTTCGAGTTGTATTTATTAACTATTTTATTTATATTTATTATACCATAATTAATATACCATTATTTTATTTATATTTTACATATCATAGTAGAAGTTGATACAATAATTGACTGCTTATCTCAATGCACATATCATTTAAAGCGATATGTTTCGAGAATATGAACCTATGACAAGATCAGATCTGTCTAAGCAATTAAGTATGTTTGTAATATATTTAATTTTGTTAAATTTAAATACACAGTTAAATTATACAATTAAAAATATAGATTTAAATAAACATTTACAGATAGTTATCATTAAACAATTAGATATTTCATTCCTTTTATAAAAGATGTTTGTCTTTTATCCTGTATTATTATTATCGATTTAGTTATTTATACAATTTTCTTGGCACACTTCTCTGGTTATGAAATTGTTCTCGTTGCCTTTACAGCCGCCATATGTAAATTCTTCGCATTGTCCCGTAGTTGAATCGTATCTGTATCTTTTTAGACTTGCTCTGCAAGGACCTACAACTTTGGGAAGCTGGCAAACTGTAAAAAAAAAACGAAAGAAACAACGTTAAATTCGGCACAACAAAATCTTTCCATAAGTGCATCCGGCGTAATTTATTGAATTAAATTTAACGAGATTTTTATATTGTATGTCGAAGTTGCGGCTTCGAGCGACAATTTTCGCTTAAATATATCGCAATGAAATAGGGATTCGCTTGTGTATATGTATAAAGAAGAAAGATAACAGACAGTATACAGTACAAAATATAGTACAAAATTTGTTATAGAATATGCAAGATAAAAAGTACTTACTTGAAGATGGCTTAGCTACGATCTCATGTGACAATATACCAACGATAATCAGCGTAAATAACAAGCACGATTTAAGACCCATCTTCGTATATATGATATCTTGATTATTAGCACTCGTGTTTCTTATTTAATATTTTCAACTGTCGGATTATATGTCGTGCGAATGACTATGCGCTGATCAAATCCTTCTAATTCCTATCAAGAGACCGCTCCTTTTTATATGAACTTTATACGCATGAAGGAGGGGATTATCGTTGCAAGTTGTTAAGTCTAATCTTATTTATGCAAGCGAGCGTTTATAAGTTATTCAAAACAGATAACGCAGGCACATTTCTAAGCAAGTTTGAAACATTTTTACGTCGCTTCGTTTATCATTTGTTGCGCGCACATATCGTCAGACTGTGGAACGACCCGGCACAACTTGGCGTGAGTAAAATTATAAACTTTTGACGAGATCGTCGCTGTACGACGCACACGCGCGGGAGAAAGAGAGGAAGAGAGAGAGAGAGAGGGAGAGAGAGAGAGAGAGAGAGAGAGAGAAAGAGAGATATGTATTGGATGTTAGAATTAGTTGCGTGTACCAGACTTATTCACCCGGAATGGAACCGGCACGTCGCTCACGGCTCGTTTCCGTCATGGTTAAACACAGACCAATCGCACGAGTGTAATTTGTGTATTATAACTGCAGATGCGTGTATGCCAATGGCTATTACATGCCGCACCTTAGCGAGAGAAATCGTTTTGTAGTATCTATATGTATATAAGCCGCGCTATTAATATGGATCCGTAACGGATCCCGCGAGTATCGCGATATATTAGCGCGCTAGCCGCTGATAAATAAGCGGAGTTTATCCCGCCGTATTGAATTCAACTTCGCTGGTTGCGCTCAGAGCGCAAGGTTCGCGCGCCACTCCTCGTACGCGCGTCCTGTGGTGGTTTCCCAACAAATGCGTCCGATGAAGCGAGTCAAAGACTCGCGCGCGGCGTGCACGTCGTGCACGATGTTTGTTCCGTGTCTTCGGTCGGGTGGAAACGCGCAACGTACCTTCAACATCTCGCAAATATCGGCAATTATGCAACTCAGCAAGATTTACAACGTCGACTCGTCTCTCCCTCCTTATCCGGAAATCTTTTACATCGGGCGCGAATGATCAGCGCGCCACGCCGACGCGCCGAGTTTCTCTACCTACGTAACTCTCGTACGTAACTTTCCGCGCGGCTGAACGACGCGGCGGACTCTCCCCGTCCCTTCTTGGCCCCCAGCCGACCCTTTCGGAACCATCGCGGATCGTATTTATTGGCGATCGCGATCTTCGATAACTTCGCTAACAACAGACCCCGCATAAACCGCCAGCATCTGTCTAACGATTCATCGAGCCTGGACGCAACTCCACCAACCGCGTGTAACGATCCTGCGAGGAGCCTTCCCACCACGACCTTGCATACACATCCTTCGTAACGATGCGGATTGTTGCCTGCCGTCATATACATATGAGAGAACACGTTGCGCTAACGATTACATTGAATTTGGCTAAATCGTCCGCGCTCGCTCGACGTCTCGTCAATTTCCCGCTAGTGTTTGCGGCTTAACTGTAGAAGCGTCACTTCGCAGCAGCTCGGAAGAAGGCGAGCGATTCACTTATCCCTCCCTTCCGAGCTTAAGCGTCGCGCCGTAAAACCCGAATGACGGGCTCATTTCGCGGACGGCATCGATTAAGCGCAACGGTTATCGGTGGGGAGTTTAGGGAATTAGTTTCCCGTGAACTTCAGGGGTGAGCCAGGCCGCGACAACTTCCGCCGTTTCGGCTACGTGGCAGTTTCTTCCTTGCTTTCCTCCACCCTTCGCCGCGTGAGACACCGTGATAATATCGCGGCACTGGATGCGTCATTCCTAGAGTAAATATTATGCATGTGCGCTTTGGATCGGGAGTCGCTTTCATCTATTTTTTTTTCTATTATTTTATTTATTATCTTTTTACACGTGTCACATGAAGTGAAAAAGTCGTGTAATTTTAGTTCCGATTCATCGCTTTCAATGTCGTTCGCTCATTCGACGTTCAGCTCTTCCGAGTATCTACATGCAGTTTGAACTCTATGTATTGATTCTTCAACAGGCGCACCCTTGGGCAGTGCGAATAATTGCAGCGTGTGTCAGGGATATAGGTCGTATATAATTTTGTCGTAAGTGTAATTATAAAATGATTATGTCTATATAACGTTTAATGAGACATGCGTAGTGAAAATGTCTTTTGAGTTAGATCTCACCGTAAATCGTGGAAATATTTGTAATTTAAAATACGAAACTATATCTGTCAAATATTGTATCTGTCGGAGAGTCGAAACGCGGCTGGAGTCCGACGACTTTCCGCCGGAAGTCATTCGAAATGTAATTTTGTCGATTACGAAATCCATTTTCGGAGTTTGACATACAGAGATACAGACCGATCCCGGAGCGATTCGTCTTCGCCGTGGGAGCGATGATTTACATACGACAAGACACCGCCAATGATCGCCCGTGGAATACATTAACCCGCGAGCGCTCAGCGACCGGCTATCACCGCACTCGCGTATCCTTAAGTGCTGTCATAATAGAGCAACGTGTGAATTATGTGAGAACGACCGATGAGAAAATACGAGGACGCTCTCGCGGCCAATAAGCGCCCGCGATAAATTCGAGGGAATATTTCGCGGTTTCTTCTTTCTTCCTTCGCTTGCGTGCCAGTTGGAATTTATCGAAGTGGAGCGCGCAGTCGTTTCTTGAGATATTACGTCGATATCGCCGGAAACGCCAGTTTCTCCGGCGGTTTTACTCCATATTAGAGAGTACAAAATGAATGAATCGCGTCTACTTTCGCGGGGCTATTAACGGACCTTCCACGGAGGATTCGCGCGCATTGTGAGAATGGAGTCTTTAATAGATTAACATTTAACGATTTGCTCGGTTTGCTCGGCAATTTCTACTTCCACCTCAGCCGTGCTCGTTGAATTAAATCTTATACAGCTCGACCGCGATTTGCAAAAAATTATTAAAAGACACGCTTTTAAGTAACGGCAAGGCTCGTCATTGCATTGCAGCGAACAAATTTCGTTCGACGAGACACGAGTGACTTGCATGAGTGTAGCGCGCGTAAATTTTGCAGACAACGTCTGCACATTTTCCTGTTTTCTTTCTCTTTTATAGGCGCCGTCGTACACACGAACGGATTTGCATACTTGCATATCGCCAGACTCGATTTTGCAGAAACAATTAAAGATTAACATACATGTAACTTTGTTGTCCATAAAAATGGAACTTTAATCGCTTGCCGTTATCATCGCGACTTTTTTCCAACAACGCTGCATCATTCAATATTCCATAACACGATAACGATTCCCAATGATTTTTCAGATACAAAGTGTAGCATACCTGTTGCTGAGACAGTCAAAAGTCTCAAATTTCCCATTGTCATTTCGACACTTACCGTTTTATTCGTTTAGTTTCGTTTAGCTTCGAGTCGAGAAAAAACATGTAGCGCTAAACAAACGCCCCGTTCGGCTGCACGCTGTTCTTTTGCTTATCCGAAAAACATCCGTTTCGATTTTTCGCCTTTTTCCTGCGCGCGAGGGCCCCTCGCGCCTTTCCTCTTTTGCAATCAACCGCTATAGAGAGACCCTCTATAGAGTTTCTCTTTTTCTCTCTCGTCCCAAACCATTTTCCGTCCATACTGCCCGGCGCTGTACCACTTATCGATACTAGCTTCGGGCGAACGTCGCTGAACTCTAGTGCCTGTTACGTCCGATGCCTGACTCTTTGTTCGACCGTTATCGTTAAGAACGAACGAAAAGCATCGCAACACAACGGCACGGATGGAAAGCCGGGTCGGGCGCGGGCAACTTTCAACGTTCAAAAGCGGGCTCGCTTACGTAAGATTCGTAAGCCTGGAGGAATTCGGCGTTTGCCGATCTCTCTAATGCTCGTGTATTAATGCAACGATTTGCATACAATCGCGCAGCGCCTCCAACGAGCGCGCCGGGACCGCGTGGGGCGCATTATATACCCTCACTTTTTAAACAATTAATAGTTACGATCTCTCGCTGACGACGGCAATTCGCTCGAAACCGCGAGAGAACCGAATCTGAGTCGAGCGATATTGATATTTCCAGTCGGGAATTATTATGCACACCTGTAATCGTATCTCTTCGTACTTTGCAACATAATTTAGCAACGTAGGAGGTCAAAAGTACGCAAGAACGTATAGTTCTCCGCGGCAAAAACGTGGTCATTGAATTAAAAATATAAAATACATTTCCTAGTCTGAAAAAAAGGAGGAAGGGAAAGGAGCGAAGGTAGGAAAGATCATATATGTTTTCTCGCCGCATGTCGTTCTCAAAAATTGATATACTACCACCAGGGGACTGCAACGAGATAAAGGAGGGACAGCATCGCAACGTTCTCCGGGGACTCGCGCGAGAAGTCGCGCGCCACGGAGATGCTTACGATGAAGCATTTAAATGCGCGAGTTATACGGCGCGTATAAAGCGCCGTGTCACTGTAAAATCGGAAGCGTTATTGTCGCTAGAATGCGTGTCGCGACCTGCGCCATGCTGGACCTCGACGCTAAGAGCATGTAACCGGCGGCCTCGTCGATGAAACGAATACAAATAGAATAGCGATAATGCCGCGCTGCGGCCTCTTGCGGCCGCGTGCGCCGCTGTATATCGCGATCGATAGCTACCATGATTTAATGAACGTCGTCGATACACCGGTAACGGGTGTTTTACGATAATATTATACAGTTCGTATCGTCGCGGTCCCACGCCGCGCCATTGTCTGGATCGGTGCAACTAGACTTCCTTACCTGGCCATTGCGACGAGCATTACTCTCGTTTAAACAATGGACGGTCGTTCGGCCAGATATTAATTGCGGATTGGTACGGTTAGCGCTGAAAACATCCGGCCGGTGCACAATAGCCGCGATAACTTTGGACACGAATCACCCGCGAACTCGGCTTCTCTGCGCATTTTACCAGCGCGTCAGGTGATACCGGGCTCCGTAAGCACATCGATAATACGAAGAGACTCCGTTGCGAAGCCCGCCGTTGGGACTTCTATATATTATGAGTCTACAAACTCCTAGTAAATTTTGCTTCATGCAAAATACTCACGAAAATCGCGGCCATTGGCCGCGATAGAGCGCTCTCGTGCGCAATGGGATCGTATAATTGGCAATCTCGTAATTATTATTACACCCTCATAATTCATAATTACGACGAGGCGTAATTAGCGACGCGATTTAATTGTCGTTTTTTTTTTACTCCTGACGCGCTTGGAAAAAAGCAGCAGGTGCGCGATTACGGCGACACGGCCGGGAGTTATTATCTCGGCTACTTTCGAAAATAACTTTCACGGCCGAATTCATCCTGCTCGTGATTTCGGTAGGAATAAAAATACCACGAGACTCTCGGGCGAACAGGTGCAATTTTTCGTACGGTGTTCAAGGCAAGCCGGTTACCACCTGTTTCAATAGCTTGCGCGAAGCCCTTGAAAAATACATTCGCCGCCGACCGCCTCGGCGAGATTAGCTGTCCGAGCTACGAGCGTCGATTAGGTTAGTTTCATGCAAATTATCGTAAAAGCGGGAATCTATCATGCGTTGTGTACCTTTTCAGAAACGCGCGATGAACATTAATTAATATTTTTTCTGATTTCTCTGGTATCTTTTTTTATCATATCGTACAGTTTCAAGGTAAAATCTCTCCTCGCTGCGGCAATCTAATGACCTCAACGTAGAAAATTATTCCGAGCCAGCTTTAAGGTTGAGTGATATCGATTGGCGAATTTAATTGCGCCAAGTTACAAAATACGCAGTTGGCGTATTAAAAGACCGAGTTCTCGAGTCTCTTTAATTTCGCTTCAAGTTATACCAACTTGAGACATTTCATAGCCGATTATGACACCGGGTTGGCGAGGGGGAGAGACAGAGGAGAGAGAGAGAGAGAGAGAGAGAGAGAGAGAGAGAGAGAGAGAGAGAGAGAGAGAGGAAGATAAGATTTCGTTCAATGTCGAATTAGCGAAACCATTTTTCTCTCGCGGTAACGGCTCATTCCATCGTAATTCTTTCTTTTCTGTCCGCTCTGCCAACTTCATCGCCTTTGAATTCCCGTGTAAAGTGAGCTCGCGTACACGGTGTACCAAGAGAAGCCGCGAGACCACCAATTTCACGATAACGCGATTCAACAGCGGCGGTAACGTAGCGCGAGATTTTTCGCGCGCGCGTCCGCAATCTTCGGCCGTTCCTCACATTAGGAAATCGACGTGAGTTTCGCGACACTTCTCTCGTTATTAATTATCGGAAACGAGCCGTTCTCATTCTGGCTCAGCTGGAGATCGATACGATAATCGGGCTTCACACGGCCGCGAAGTCTTCGAAGTCGCTTGCACTTGATTTACAGCTTCCTCCCGCATGGATCGTGCAGCAGCAGCAGCAGCAGCAGCAGCAGCAGCAGCAGCAGCAGCAGTAGCGTCGGCAGCACGAGCAATTCAGTGCGCGGTGAATTGTGCTGAGCTCGTGCTGGCAAGACGACGTACGGTGATTTGCATGCGAGCTCACGGCCCGTGGGAGGAACGGCGGGTATAATTTGGCAGGTAAGCCGCTCAGCCGGTCTGTCGCTTGTGACGTTTGGTCAACGACAATTAACAGGCTCCGTACACCGTCCGTCGAATCGCGCGCGTAAATGCGTCACGTTCAACATCGCTCGCGAGAGAGAAAGAGAGACTTTCGTGAGAGCGTCAACCGGACCCGACGACTGCCGCCGCGGCATTCGTCGACGGAATTATCGCACGCGCGCGCATGGTCCGCTCGAAAAAAAATTTCCTCGCGCCCAGCACGGGCAGAATGAGAGAAAGTACAAACCAAATGCCTCGCCATCTTATTTATCTTAATTTCATGGAATTTCATCGAAATTAATTTAATAAACGTAATCGCATCAGTATAAGAGCACCCTCTGGGAGATTTAAAATTCAATCTGAGTTTTAATTACGATGACATTACTGTGACATGGGGAATTGAAGGGTTAATTAAAAGGTTGTAGTGTAAATTGAAGCCCCCCCATTAACTTTTCGGGAAGTAGCCGCTAAATTTCAATTTAATCTCGCAAAACGGATAAAGCTCATTTGGTGAAATTTGCAGGCCACGCACGGCTACGTAATGGCGAATGATGCGTTTACTAAACAAAACATACCGCTTGGATATAGCGATCCTGCGGTAAAATTAGATAAAATACTGTATAAATACACCACCGCAACCCACAATGTGCATAGCCGGCAATTAATTAAAGCTCTCTCGTTTACTAATTAATTTAATACTACGTAATGCGTGAGAAATATTTTCGAATTCCTTGCTCGTCAAACGCGCTTGGCGTGCTGAACATCGCGACCAATCCGCATAATATCATTAGTATGCTCATTCTCCTCTGTATTACGTGCGCAAATGTATCGGCGAGGTATTACGTATTTTTCGAATATAATATCACGGCAAATATGGGGAATACTGTATTACTTTCGACGCACAATCGCGCATACAACAAACGTTCATTATTTATCATTGAGCTCTTATTAATACGGACGCGATAATGACCGCGTGTAACCCGTGAGTTACACACCAGGTGTACACACGCGTGCACGTAAATAAGTGTCGCACGCGTATCCGTGTTTGCTCCTCTTTTATACGTCGCTCGTTAGAAAAATGCTAAAAGTGCGGAAACGCGGATCGTGCTCGATGATTGATCGTCGGTCGGCGATAATTGCGCCAAGGCCCGTAATTGAATTCTTTATAGCCGACTTGCGCGTTCCGTTTCCTGCGGGCTTATAAACGCCATTTCCCCTGTTTACGAGCGCGACGGCACATTTATACAAATACGCATTAACGTCGGGCGCAGGAGGCTTAACGGCGAGATCCACTGACAAAGCTTCGTCAAAGGGTCGAGGAAGTTACCCGAGCAGCCCGCGTGTTTCAAACAGTCGACTCGATTAAGTTCGCGAAATCGGAGATTCGAACGCGATCTCTTCACGACTCTCACACGATTTCGACGGCGTCGCTGAATGCCGGCACGTGTTACACGTGAAGGACCTTCCTCTCCGGAGCTCTCTCCTTCTTCTCCCTCTCTCTCTCTCTCTCTCTCTCTCTCTCTCTCTCTCTCTCTCTCTCTCTCTCTCTCTCTTCCACTTTCTCTGTCTCTCTTCCACTTTCTCTGTCTCTCTTTCTCTTCGAAGCAGCTTTGGGAAACTGGATCTCGAGTTCGACTCGTCGCGTTCAATGCGCTTTGCACGCGCGAGCTCGCACCATGCCGCGTCCTCGTCTGCCCGCATTTAGACGGCTCTTTTCCCTCCCTCTCTCTCTCTCTCTCTCTCTCTCTCTCTCTCTCTCTCGTCGCACCGTCCTTTAGATATAAATTCATGCGAAACTCCTCTTTCACGGTGCCCGGTATCATTGACGGGGAACATCTAGACCGTGTGTTCGCGCTACTGTTCGCTGTTCTTGCGTATCGTATCTTATTGTGCTTCTCTGGCGAAGCCTACCAGCTTACCGCTACCTGGAACGAGGCCGACAATGACAACGAGGAAGACAACTACGACTGCAACTACAACGACGACGACGACGACGACGACGACGACGACGACGACGACGACGACGACGACGACGACGACGACGACGACGACGACGACGACGACGACGACGACGACGACGACGACGACGACGACGACGACGACGACGACGACGACGACGACGACGACGACGACGACGACGACGACGACGACGATGACGACGACGACGACGACGACGACGATGACGACGACGACGACGACGACGACGACGACGACGACGACGATGTCGACAGCAGCGACGTTGTTCCATTTAATTAAGTTTGCATTGTACCGAAGTACACGCTGCGGCGAAAGATCGTTATCGAACTCTCTCGCGAGATATGACGACGGCAGTGGGCTGGTACGCTTATCAGGAGCGATCTGCTCGAGCAAATGAACGAACGGCTCTCTCCGTTCGTTCGGAGATTCGCCTCCTAACGAGATCGAGAAGTCTCTATCGGCAGCATTGCTGTTCCTCCTGATGGCTCGGCAACGTATGCCGCGTTACGGCCAAGTTCCACTTCTGTCTCTCGGGACAAGACTGATCTCGATCTTCTGAGATGACAATAATTAAAAGTTTCAGCGGCTATCGGTTACGCTTGAAGGATAACACAGTCTTTTCGGAGTATTAGACAGCCGGAGAATAAAATCCGAGTAGAAATCTACGTCTTTTGTCAACCACAGATTCTTTTATTAAACCTGCATAAGGCACTTGCTCAATGTGTACATTAAAATAATGGACGAATATAACGGATCTCTATATGACAATTATGTGTGTATGTATGTAAATGCATGTATATGGAGTGTGTCTGATATTTTTCAATATTTCGACAAAGAAACGGCAAGAGTTTGAACTCGCCAGTTTTGCACAGAGAATCTAACGCTATGTTAATAAAATTTCCTTCGAACAAAAATACGGCGGACGATTCTGTTTATTCGTTATTCCTCTCGAAAGTTGCAAGCCTTTTGACATTCTTCCAATGTTTTAAATCTATTGTCATTTCCTTGGCAGCCACCGTAGATAAATCTGACGCATCTCTTCTCCTCGTTGTTATAGCCGTATTGAGGTTTATAAGCTTTGCAGGGTCCAGTCACAAGCGGTTCACGACAGACTACAAAATTCATACGTTTCAGTCAGTAGAATAATAAATGAAGCAGTCACTGCTTCCTCGATGACTCGCGAGAACAATCGACGAAACGAAATAGAACGATACAAAATACGTATATTAATGTTATCGCGTTGAAGTGTACTCACCTGCCGACGGTACGCTGGAGTCATGAGATGTTTCGGAAAATGCGAAGGCACAGGCGATTGCTGCGAGAAGCACTACGAGCGTCTTGGCGTTCATGATGTTGAACAGTTTTTGATTGTGTCTCGTTGTACTGTGCTATTGCCGAGAGTTTCGAGGATTATGTGATCTCCGTCAGCGTGCTTCGAGTTTATATACGTACGCGTATCAATGTGGTAGGACTACGAAATGTACATCTGATTGACGTGGCTTGATGATTTCACTTCTATATGTTTACACAGCTCGATGCACACAGCATGTGTAAGAAAAATCCGCTTCTTTATCGCCAGCTATTGATCTAAATTAACGGACCTGTACATATTGAACTTGCACACTTCTGGATCGTGATCGACATCTCGAATGTAAATGTTTGTTCAATCGCGTGTTCAATGTGAATTCTCTCGAACAGCAGTCTTCTCTCCTAAGCCAAGTATTGAAATAAAAGGCGCATGTTTGTTGAAAGAAACTTCAGAAAATTAAATATATAGATAACATTCTGTAGGCGTTGCAAGACATCGCAGAAGAATTATCTTCTGTTTGAAGAAAGAAACAATGAACCACTTATTGCTTGGAAATTTTAATCAATTCCATTTATTTTTCTTCTTTCTTATCTCGAGATAAGATTTAAATATTTTCCACTGTTTTGTCTTTGATATCCTACAATCAGGAGTGTATTTTTATTCTGTGTGCCTTAAAGCAAGACCTTATTTCGGAGATCTTACTCTTAAAATCTGTTTCCGCTTGTTCTACTTATACATGTGTGCATCTACATGCGTAAGAAAATTATAAAAGAAACGATTATATTGTTGTTACGGTTGCGCAAATAATGCAATTGCGTTACTGTTACTGATGAAAAGAGATATAACGTTGTTACCAAAAAGAGTAATTTATAAAAATAACGCGTTACTTCCCAACGCGACCCATTCGATGCGATCCAGCTATCGCTATGCTATTGCGACGCTTAATTATCCGTGATTTCAGAAATAATCCTATCATGGTGCACTTGATGATGCGTAAAGTTTCGTTAATCTCGCGGCTCGATATTACCGCGATATTTCTGCATTTTCATCGGTATATTAAATAAAGCGTAAGCGCATTCTGTGTTTCTGCATGGCGATTGCTATGCTATTTTAAACCGCCAAAGAGCAGGAAAAGGGAAGGTTTTTCGACCGATTGCGCGCGCGCGTTTCCTACGAAACGGGATCGGCCGTATCTATCGGCCGAACGCAATCGCCAACTTCAAAGAATATATCCGCGGCATCGTAACGATTTTAGCCCCTTTCAATCTGAGGCGAGATGAAAACCATCGCGTATCTCGTGCTTTATGTCTACAGTCGTTCGCGCAGTATGTCATAATTTCGAGCACTCCGAGGCAAACCGACGTGGCGTTAACACGAAACTCCATAAATGTTATAGACTTCTCTAAAGTTCTCCATCGTTGCGTACGTTACTTCCGCGGGCTGGAACTTCTTTAATATTTTAATGGCGGTAAGTTAAGACCAGGTCAAAGCCGGTTTACGGGACGTGTTTGTGATTTAACGATTGCCTATTTCACACACGCGGACTACACTTGGAAAATAATAATCCTCGCATTTCGTAGGTTTATTATCTACATCGTTTGTCGGCCTGTCGTAGAAATCGCTAATAACAGCCCTATTACAATTTTTATCTGCTCCCCGCACATTCGCGGGTTCGCAGTTTATAACTTTCTTCTGGCATTACGGCTCCACGTGTATTATTTATCGGAGTTGCGTGTAATATCCGGTTGTACACGTTTCTGACCTATCACGTTATGATAAATGGTACGCTCAACACTTAGGTTTTCTCGCTGTACGCAAGTAGCTACCCGTTCCTTATCGTGTCGACGTTACGTGTTATTAAACCGTCGGCACACACAACCAAGTTGCAAAAGTGCCGTGGCAAATGTACCGTGAAAATATCCAAAATTTCGGCGATCGATATTTCCTTCGTAGTGCCGGCGCGGCGGGTCGGCAAGAAAGAAGTGTGGTACAAATTAAATTTCCGGTTATCGAATAATTTTCGAAAAATTAACGCCGATATGCCTCGATCTTATTTAAATAAACTGTATCACGCTCGCGTACGACGTGGAAGTTCTCCGCGCAACATTTAACCGCGGCGCAGCAACAACGATCGCAAGGGAAAATGATTCCGTACCCTTCTCCTTCTGGGAAATCCGCGGAATGTTTAATAGTTGCGCGAAATTCGCAGCGTCTCGGGTTATATCGCTAATGAATTATCCGGTTACGGTGGGTTGCGACTCTCCGAGGAAATCGATGTAACGTATCCCTCTAAGCGCGTCGCACAAACACAAAGCACCGCAGTTTCGACCGGGACTGAATCGCGCGTCTTCCAGTCCGGGAGTGATATCCGTTCCGCGATTCTCGAAACGCGAAACGACGTGGCTTCCTATCGCAATAACACTCGATCATATGTGTGTTCGCATCGACGCACATGAGAAATCTGGAAAATTGGTCAACATTTTTACGAGTTGTCGTAATATGCACATCTTTGTCAAATACGTCGACAAAACACGAGTATCAAAAGTGTTTGTTGGAACTATAAATTGTATTTGAAACTTTAGTCCTTCGTCGTTTTCAAAGCTACGAATTTCTAAAGCTTCGATCATATATGAATAATGAAATTTCGGAGAGTGAATATTCGAACATTTGAACGGCATTACTAACTGCACGAAATCTTGTTTCATTCTTCATACACAGACACACACACACACACACACACACACACAATTGGTTTTATATTAATATTAAAACCACCGACGAGATATTAACCCGACCCATTTCTCGACCGGAGCGTTCGAAATAACACTCAACAGAGTGTTTGAAGAAATACACAAATCAATGTAAAAATATTTTTTTTTTTTTCAGTTTTATATATATATATATTCGGTGTTTATTAAAAATATATATAATGCATCGTTATATAAATTGAAGTAATTTTTACAAGAAATTCAAACTTTGAGCTTCAACTTCAAAGGTCGAGTTCTACCGAAGCTTCGCATATATCAAATAGTACTCTCTCTCTCTCTCTCTCTCTCTCTCTCTGATGTTTATGTCATTTTCCCATCCGCAATATGAAATGCTGTTGACGAAAGGACTTTGGTAGCTGCCGTGTGACTTCACTCGAACCTGGCAGGGGGGACGCCGAGCCATCAGAACGTGTCGAGCGTTTGGAAGCGCGGCGCGGCGCGGCACTCTCGACAACACAGCGGCATCGATCGAGGTTGCGGGAACCGCGACGGAAGAAGAACCAGTTCCGGGTGAGCGGCGAGGCTGCGCGGCCCGATCTCGACGGAGTTAAGTAATTTGTCGTTGCCGATGGGTTAATGTTATCCATCACTAAGCGGGAATTTACGATGTAATAAGGCCGCGCAGCGACTCCCGCGATCTATCTCGAATGTCTCGTCGCTTCGCTAACCTGCTTCGCCCATTCCGGCCCTCTCGTCTATCCTGTCTATCCTCCGTTCCTCTTCCTTATCGCCGTTACTGTCGAGGAGGCCCCTTGCGAGCGATCGCTCGCCTACTCCTGATCCGCGTTTGCGACTCCTCGCAAAAAAAGCCGAGCTTCTTACGAGGGCCGCGCGCTATCGACTCACGATTAATTAATACGATCGGGTCAGAGGGTCAACGGGAGATTGGTGGCCGTGCGAACGGATGGTTATCGCCGAAAGATATTCCTCCGCTATCGCGCGATCTTCTCCCGACGATTCTGGGAACAAGTCGGCTCGTCGAGGATCTTGAAAGCCCGTTTGAATTTCTCAGTCTCATGGATTATTCTTGTTATAACACGACCTCACTAACTATCTTCAGACGTTGTAAACGGTAACTGTAAGTCGAAACTATCGCGTCTTCTTTCGTTTGCAGATTTTTGCAATCGTTCGCAATTTTCCCCTGTCCTTCCGTAAAAAAAAAAAAAGAACGAAAAAAGAAATCTCGCTAACATTGCGGTATCTACCTGTCAATTTGTATATAGATAGGTTATTTTTCTATTTTCGCTGACACATAGCGAGGTTTCGAGGTCTCGACCAAAACTGTAACCGGTACACAATATCATCTTTAAAAAATAAAATAAAAAAGAACAATCCAAAAACAAAAAGAAAAACGTCATTTTACCGGTCCTCCGCAACGTGCTCTCTTCTTTCCCGGTCATCTTTATGCGTATGTTAATTCTTACGAAGAAAAAGTCAAGCTAGGTATATACCCAGAGCGACGTGGACGATAGGTGTATGCATCTTCTCATCCTTCTCCTTTGTACCTCATTCTTCTCGCGCTTTAACGTACCAGCAAATCAATTGCGTTAAAAGCCCAAAAGCCGCAGCGACCGTACGGTGTATGAGACCGCGATCGCGGTCGACGAGGCTGAGAGACGATAAAAGGGAGAGAGGTACGGAAGAAGAGAGGAGGAAGAAGAACGTCCACTCGGCGCGGCGGCCAGGGTGCGATCGACTGACGTTTATTGCCGCTGTAGAACAATGCGGAATCATTGTTCGGATCGTCGTAGCTACTGTTATTGCCACCGTTACCGTCGCCGCTGGCCCTCGGATGTACCGCCGGGGGCCGGCAGCGACTCTCCACGGCCGCGGCGTGGCGTGGCGCGGCGCGGCGCAGCGCGGCGCGACCAACGGTGCGCCGCGGGAACATCCGCCTCTCTGTCCGCCGGCGCAGGCCGTGCGTGAAAGCTGTAATTGATAATGGGCGCAAGCGGCGAGCGTACGCTCCATCACCGGCACCGACGGTACCGTCGACTTCGTCGTTTGTGTCGTTTCGTTTCGTAATTACTCCGCCGGAGGAAGACCTACGAGGCGTGCCGTCGATATACCAATCAACTCGAAACTTCACCGTATCGTGTGAAACAAATCTCCCGACTTTCAAGATAAATGAGCCAATTAGCGACGGTGTCCCAATTGCACCCGTTTTCCTTCATAAACCAGCTGATATGGGTCTATATTTATCTCGAACCTGTATTTTTATCATAAATTTTACGTATTGTCGGTCACAAGTTCCGAGTGAAATTGAGTCGGTAAATTCTGAGATAACAGTCACAAACGTACCAGCGACGACGATCCGAATAGTGCCGACCGGTTCTAAGGATGACGAGCAAGTTGACGAGCAAGTTGATTC